TGTACCCCTTCCACGTGTGCGTTCGCTTTCTGCTGCTGTTGCTGCCGCGCCCACACCAGCCCATGTTACGACTGTCGTGCCCGACCTGAGTGCTCCGACTGTTCCTGCTGCCGTCGCTGCCTCCGTACCTGCTGCCGTCCCTGCCTCCGTGCTTGCTGCTGCTGCTCCGCCTGCTGCTGCTGCCAATGCTGTTGAATCTCTGGTGTCTCGTGTTGCTTCCTCGTTCCGTGTGTTCATCACACAGTCTGTTTCAGTTCCGCCCTGTCATGAAGTTATTCTTCCGGTTGCCCCGTCGGTATGTGCTGCTGGCTCTCCTGCTGCTGATACTTCGTATCTAATCGAGCCCCTTGATTCGTTCTCAGAGAAACACCCGACATTGGATGTCGGAACGTCTGTCACGTCCCCGGATAACTTGGTTATCAATGTGGTTAACCGTGGTACCACCCAGATTGCCTTGCATGCAAATACTCATATTGCTGTATGTGAACCTGTCCCTGAGTGTGCTGACACTTGTGCTGCTGTTGATGATTCGCCGTTCATGCCGCCGCCGCCTGTCCCAGTAGAGAAGATTGATGCGTATATCGAAAAGAATTGTTGTCACCTGTCACCAACGGACCGTTCTACCTTGCGTGACCTTCTCCTGCAGTACCACGATGTATTTGCTCTTCATCCCGACGACCATGGGTACTGTGATCTTGCGCCACATAAGATAGACACAGGTGATCATTCGCCTATTAAACAACAACCTTACCGTGTTCCATTCCGTCATCGTGAGCAGCTCCAGAATATTATCAATGACCTTCTGCAGAAAGGTGTCATTACTCCCTCTGCGAGCCCGTGGGCTTCGCCTGTTGTCCTCGTGCCTAAGAAAGATGGCTCTCTGCGTCTCTGTGTTGACTATCGCCGGCTCAACAAGATCACCACAGCTGATGCTTATCCTCTTCCTCGGGTCGACGATACCCTAGACGCGTTCTCTGGCTCTAAGGTATTCTCGACACTTGACCTTGCTAGTGGCTACTGGCAAATCGCAATCCACCCTCAAGACCAAGCTAAAACAGCCTTCGTGACGCCCCTTGGGTTGTACGAGTTCACGGTTCTTCCTATGGGTTGCTGCAATGGGCCTGCCACATTTCAGCGCTTGATGCAAACGATCCTAAATAATCTCCTTACCAGTCCTGATCCCGTCTGCCGTGTGTTTTTTGATGACATTGGCCTTGGGTCAGCCACTGTTAGTCTTGGCTTGGATGGCCTCCGGTCCGTTTTCACGTGTCTTCGTCGGTACAATCTCAAGCTTCGGCTTGAGAAATGCGCTTTCCTGCAGCCCCGCACTAAGTTCCTTGGTGTGGACATCAGTGCCGATGGCCTTCACACCTCAGCTTCGAAGGTTCACGATATTGTTCACTGGCGTACGCCGACATCCGTTCGTGAAGTGCGTGGTTTTCTCGGCCTCGCTGGGTATTACCGGAAATTTGTTCCGCACTTCGCGCAAGCTGCCGCCCCACTGGCCGCACTCACTAAGAAAAATGCGAAGTTTTCCTGGGGTCCTGCTTGTCAGGCTGCTTTCTGTGTACTAAAAAAACGCCTCTCATCTGCGCCTGTGCTTGCTCAGCCTGACTACACGTCTGCCGCCGCTCCCTTCATCCTTGATGTGGATGCCAGTGATTTTGGTATGGGCGGTGTGCTCTCTCAGGTACAAGATGGCCATGAGTGTGTGATTTCCTACGGTAGTGCTATTCTCAACACCGCCCAACGTAACTACTCCACTACGGAGAAGGAACTCCTTGCATTTGTTCACTTCGCTGATGTGTTCCGCTACTACCTCGTTGGTCGAGCATTTGTTGTGCGCACTGATCATGCTGCTCTCAAATGGCTCCATTCGCTCAAGGAACCACGCGGTCGTCGTGCCCGTTGGTTAGAACAACTTGCTGAACTCGAGTTCACGGTTATTCATCGCCCTGGCCGTCAACATTGCAATGCCGATGCTCTGTCTCGCCGTCCTCCTGAGTCTGTTGCCGCCACTACCCGTCAGTCACCGCCTGACCAGTCGTCACCAGCCGCACCAGCAGCTCCTGCTCCTGCTTGTGATCCTGGCCCCACTGTACCGAAACCTGCACCTGACTCCTGGCTGCCGCGCTTTACTGCTGCTGAGCTGCTTGCTGCGCAAAAAGAGGATCCTGATGTGTCCATTGTGTTAGGCTGGCATGATTCTAGTCATGATGTGTTTAATTCTCCCCCTGCACACACATTAACTGCCTCTAGCCGTGCTGTTCGCCGCTATGCTTCTGAAATTCATTTGCTTTCCCTACGTGATGGTGTTTTGTATCGCACAGACCCATCGGCTGATTCTGTTTTGCAATTAGCTGTTCCGTTCTCTTTCCAAGCTGATATCTTAGCTGCAGTGCACGCCGATGTTAGTGGTGGTCATCTCGGTGCTACAAAGACCATTGACAAGGCCAAATGCCGTTTCTTCTGGCCAGGTATGTCAGCTGATTTGCGCACATTTGTAGCTAATTGCCAAGAGTGCATGTCCCGTAAGAGCGCTACGACTGGCCGAGCACCATTGCAGTCCATGCGAGCTGGCTTCCCTAACGAGATCGTAGCCATGGATCTCGTTGGACCACTGCCTACCAGTCGCCATGGCAACCGTTACCTACTGGTATGTAGTGACTACTTCTCACGTTGGCCTGAAGCGTACCCTCTACCCACTATGACTGCTGCTGCCGTTGCGGATGTGTTCTTTCGGAACTGGATCTGTCGGTTTGGTGCCCCAGAACAACTCCACACCAATCAGGGCACACAATTTGAATCTGAACTCTTCAGTGAACTGTGTCGCCTCATGAATATCCGAAAGACTCGGACCACCGCGTATCATCCCCAGGGCGATGGGCTCGTGGAACGCCTCAACCGCACCATAGTTTCAACGTTGCGAGTGTATGTAGCGGATCTGCCCACCTTCTGGGATCAGTATGTTTCAACCGTCCTGCTTGCATACCGTACAGCCAAGCATTCTTCTACTCAATTCACCCCAGCTCAGCTTATGTTTGGTCGCCAACTCCGTCTGCCTATCGACCTTGTCTATGGGTCACCCCCGACAGAGTTTGTGTCGCCCGCCGAATATATAACACAACTGTCCAAGTCCCTCCACCATAGCTTCGATACTGCCCGTCGTAATGATAATGCTGCGCACCACAGCCAGAAGGACCACTACGACCTTCGTCAACGTGGCACTGCATTCCAAGTCGGTGATAGTGTGTGGCTCCTTGAACCTGGAATGCGTCGCAAACTCCAGCCACCGTGGACCGGACCATACCGGATTGTCCATGTGTCGCCACCAACGTCATACGACATTCAATTGATCAACGAACCCTCCAGCACCAGTAAGCGTGTACATTTCAACCGCCTCAAGCTACACGCCCGCTCAAACGCCAAGTCGTCAGTCTCTCAGTCCGGCCCAGATGTCCCGCTGTCTGAAGCGCCACTGGCTCCTACTTCTCCATGTCCGCCGCCTGTTCCGCTATTCTCCTGGCCTGATGCTGATGATGCCCCACCCCAACCTGTTCCTCCTCCGCCGCCGGTTTTGCTGCAGCCAGCACCACCAGCACCTGGTCCGCGTGCCCATCTGCACCGCAACGCCGGTCGTCCTGTTCGTTACAGGAACAACTATGTGTTCCCACAATGAGTTCCAAACTCGCACTTGCCTTGCCTTTCTGCTCCACTCTGTTTCCATTGTGTGCTTGTGTATGATTTTCTTTTTCTTGCTGATGTATTTTGCTGCTTGAGCCTCGTTTAGGTCTACGTTAATTCTGTATTATGTTCTTGTTTGTTTTCCGAGGACGGAAAATTATTTGAGGGGGGAGCAGTGTAGTAGACGGACTTCCCCCTACACAAATCACTATGTATTACTATGTAGCGTAGTAGACGGACTTCCCCCTACACAAATCACTATGTATTACTATGTATTGCACTATGCATTGCTGACACCATCAGATCCCTTGCTTTCATTCGCTAGCTAGCGCTCGGAGCTGTAACTGGCAATCTCGTACCATATATATAGATCCGTGTGTCAGTTGCCCAGCTCAGTTGTTGCAGAGTCCTTGCGTCCGTTGTTTCTGTCGTCTTCCCTTCACTTATTGAGTCTTTCAATATACTATAAGTAATTCTGTGTCACCTACGTTTGTCGTTCCGTGTGTGCAATATTGTTCCCTGAGAATACTACCTGTGTTTTGCCGGAGAGACTGAACCAGTTTTGCCTTGTCACTCGGTCGCGTATTACACTCGGCCTATATTTTCCATATAGACCTCGTCTTGGTCAAATATCCTATACATATTCACAGGGGGGGGGATACATCTTACCAGAGCTCCACTGATGTATTGCATTCTATAGAGTGTGAACGTATTGCATCCAATAGAGTAGGGAGGTTCGCTCGACGTAATTACGTATGAAAATCCGTATGTCTTACACGCCGGGGAGCGAGGGCAGCTTTCATACGTAAATCTCTCTCTAAGAATTTCCGTAGGAAAGCTCTTTCCTACGTTGGGTCCTCCGTAGGACTTTTTGAAAATATGTTTTCGCATTTTCCGCATTTGTCCATGGCAACGTTCAAGCCGCGCGAAACACAAGGTACACACACCGTACACCACGTGCAAAATAAGATGGAAAACGCGGTTTCGGTTCATGGTGCATGCCGTGGGCGCGTGCAGCCAACGCGTCTCCAAAGCAACAAGGCATGTTTAGCAGTCGTGGATAAATCACGTAGAGCGAAACCCAGCAGCTCTGATTCTTACGTATGAAAATTCCGTGCAGTTCCTACGTTATTTTCATACGTAATTCCGTAGAGCGAAACTTCCCTAGTGTGAACGTATTGCATCCAATCGAGTGTGAGCGCACGGCCTCTTTTACGGGCAAGATAAAGTCATGTAGATGTATAATAAAAAATAGAGATACCATGAAAAGTAAATAGTTATTGCAGAGTTTTCCTGTTGTCTTGTGTGTTGTCCAGCAGCAGGGCGTTTTATGGCGTTTTCTCGCATGAACTCCTACCCCAGCAGTGCGGTACAGGCACCTATGGCGACTATGTAAGTCTTATATTTTGAGAGAGTTAGGAAAATCCTCTTTTAATACGGGCAAAAACAAACACAGTGGGTTATGAACTCAGATGGGGAGCCAAGGAAAAATTGTAACATGAAAAAAACTTGTGCACTTGTACCCACATTTTTCCCATGTTACAACGGATTATGTATGTAAGTCACATTGGTGTTGTCGCCTGCTTTTGGTGACGATCTACCTCTTCGCACTCGCCACACACCAAAAGGACTAGTAAATTGGTTGTTCTCTATTTCGAGAGAGACCTTTTCTAATGTACAGTGTGTGTAGTGTGTGCAGTATGCACAGTGCGTATAGGGTGTATGTATGGTGCTGAAGCTAGATGAAATTAGCACCTCAAGTGTCAGTTCGGTTGTGTACTTCCTCCGGAAACAAAAAAAACCTTTGCGACCTCGATCAACCTGTTGGTTTTTGTGAATTGAACTCCGGGGAATCAAGCAATGGTGACCACAAGTGAGACTCGAACGGTGCCGATTCCTTTTGTACAATAGTGCACATACTTTAACCCTTTAAGAGCCGCCACATACTTGAATGCGTCGTAAACGACGCATTCAAATGCAAAACTTCAAAAGATCGTAACTCAGTCCAATCTCGCTCAAATCCAGTGATCGAAATATCCAGGGCGAAGAGAAAACTCTCACCTGTCGGGAGAAACAATCCGCAAAGCGCTGCGAGCAACGGTTCCTGAGATAAATCACTCGTAAGTTGAGCCGCGATCGCGGCAATTTCAAAAGCGCGCAGTGCGACTTTAGTATTGAGAATTTTGAGACTTTTCGTCACGCTGGTTTACTCAAATTAGCACGGGTTTCACTGTTGATATTGTCAAGAGTACACAGCGAAAAAATTGGAACTCCACGATCGAGTAAAATGAAATATCTGGAGCGGGACGCAATTGGACGCATTTGGGGCATTTTTCGTACTGTCGCTGCGATCTAGCGCTAGATAGACGGTGTGCTGGCTATCATGACCGACCTTATTCTCTTCCTCTCGCGGAGACCGTTCCAGGAAGCCCTAGATTGTGAGGATTGAGTGAGTAGAACTGAAGCTATGATCCAAGGAACACGAAAAATGCAGAATTTTGAAATTTTCCTGTGGCTCTTAAAGGATTAAAAACAAGTCCACGCACTAGGATGGTTGATAGATATGGTGATAAAGACACACCTGGCAATATGGTGTCTTCAACTGCATAATGCACTAGAATGTCGATAGAGTACTCGTCAAAGTTGATGTTTCCGGATGAAGTAGTATGCTGTGATAGTCTCCATCCTGGGTGCCTGACTGGTGTTTTGCCTGATATTCATCGCTACTCGGTAGCGCTACATCACCCAGCCGTACTGCTGAATCATCCGACAGTATCGCTTTCCTATACACTGCTGGCCGCGCGGAGTGCGGACAACTACAATGGTACCTGCTGGTACGTACACATGCACTGGATGGGCATTGTCTGCTGGTGTGTGTGTGTGTGTGTGTGTGTGTGTGTGCGTGCGTGCGTGTCTGCCTGAATATCTTGCCAACAGACCTGAGCAGATGCAGCCGTACTACATGCAGCCGCAACCTGCCCAGTACCAACAACCTGCCCAGTACCAGCAACCTGCCCAGTACCAGCAACCTGCCCAGTACCAGCAACCTGCCCAGTACCAGCAACCTGCCCAGTGCCAGCGGGGCGCCATTCAGCCAGGTAAGACGAAGTCTTGCCGCAGTGCAGGTCACTTCAAGAGTACTGTTGAGCCCTCTTGGTCCCATTGCAGTCCCCTTGGTCCCATTGCAGTCCCCTTGATCCCATTGCAATCCTCTTGATCCCATTGCAGTCCTCTTGATCCCATTGCAGTCCTCTTGGTCCCATTGCAGTCCCCTTGGTCCCATTGCAGTCCCCTGGGTCCCATTGCAGTCCCCTTGGTCCCATTGCAGTCCCCTTGGTCCCATTGCAGTCCTCTTGGCCCCATTGCTCCGCACTCACAGCAATCCAACAGCGAGATAGGTTGGTGATGACGGTTGCATTGGGGAAACAACAAGGGACAAGACAGGAAGGCAAACGACTTCATGATGATAAGAAAGCTAGATGAAGGGCCTGGGTACCTATTGTAAAAATGTAATATGGGTGCGTAAGCAGCTACCCAGGCCAATGGAATGTCGTAAGGTGTCATACGGGAACGCAGGAAGCTATATGTACGGGGTGCAGGGGAGCAATGCACGGGCCAATTATGAGTTGTGCTTCTTGACCTTGCAGAGCGTTGCTCTTCTATAACACCCCTTCCCTTTTCTCCATTTACGATGCCTGATCGCAACGCCAACACTGATACCTCTGGTCGGTCGAGTTGCTCTCAGTACATCGGCACGTCGTCCCTACATCCCCTTTGTTTTGTTTTATGTTCTCATCCACATGTTTCCTGACCAAAGCAAAAATGAACTTGGCAGCTCTGAGCACCATTTTTTCAGATTTTGTGGACAAAAGGTTGCTCCTTGTGCTTGGCCCCGGCCGAAAATACACCACAAATGAGTGTAAATTTACTTCCTGGTGCTATAGTGCTGTACAACTTCCCAGAACCATGACCTTTTCCAAGGGGGGGGGGGGGGGGTACACTCTTGCAGTCTTGGTCATGTGCTGCTGCCATACCTCAGCACTCACTATTGCCAAAGTGTATCTAAAATTGAAAGATGAGTCATGTTTTGCTGAGCTGCTGCTCAGAGTGATAGTGTGAATGTCAGTGTACCTGGCACAGAACTGGTGGGCCTGACCTACTCAGGATGTGGCTCACGTGTGGTCCATGATGCATAAGTGCTGCTTATCAGGTGCTCTACAGCCCATTCATAAAAAAGATGGGCCCTGGCTCTGGCGAGCTCCCGTATTTGGCGCTTTTCGTGATTTCATCATACACAGTGCATGCAGTGCTGCGAAATTTGAAATTTGAAAAAGGGTCCAAAAAGGTACCTGAACTGGGGTTCGAACCGCACAATGCACTGTTGCAGGCGGGGTCAAACGACCTGGACTTTTATGGTTTTTCCCAATTCAGTGCTTTTGGGGCAAAACCTGGCCGAAATCCTATTCTTGTTATGGCTTGCTTTTTGGACCAAAAAACTTCAGAAACATCATTGGAAGAGGATTCCATAGGGGATTGCAGAAAAAAATTCAAAGTTTGACCCATTTATGGCCAAAAGCTAGAAGTCCATCTTTTTCTGAATGGACTATAGATCAGCTTGTGTAGCTTGTGGGGACCTGAGCTCCTTTAAACTATTAGTAAAGAAATGATGACAGAGAGAGAGAAGGATAGGCAGAGAAGGGGGGGTCACGGATGAACGAAAAAGTTGACAGATCACAACTCCATTCTCCAAAGGAAACCAAGCCAATTTAAAAACCTCTCCCTGTTTTTGCCCAGTTGATCTCCGGAAACCACGATCCTCTAGCAACAGTAAAATTCGTGTTCTAAAACAAAAATGCTGGCCGGTTGGCAACTGGATATGAGTTTCAATTGGTCAGCTGTGATCTCAACAAACAAAAAACCATTGTGCCGGAGGTACTTCTTTGAGATCAAGGTTGAAGCTGGGTGGCAAAATCATACAGTATAATTGCATCCGAATACCGTAAAAGCCCCTGTACACGCCCAGTCAGGGAAAGTCAACACTTTTGTTTCAAAATAGCGCCCATGCCCATGTATACGCCCAGGTATGCCGGCAGCACCAGTACATGTACAGGTACTGATACCCAATACTTACTGCTATCCCTATTCCAAGTATACGCCCGGTTCCAAATAACGCCCGTGCCCTTGTATACGCCCAGGAAATCAAGGCTGCTATTCTATCAGGGTCCGCACCACTCCTTGAATTCCTTGAAAGTCCTTGAATGTCAAAGCCGGATTTGAAAGTGCTTGAATATCCTTGAATTTTCGTGTGGGTGCTTGAATTTTTGAAAAAAGTGTGTTTTTCCTTGATTTTGGGTTTGAATGCGGTAGATCTACTCACGTTCATGCAGTAGGTCTACGCGCACTGCTGGGTACCCGTAACCGGTACCGTAGTCCGTAGATCTAGTACCAAGAGTGGATCCACTCTTGGTAGTACTGATAGGGATCTCAGCGCGTGAGCTGCGCAGCCTGTTCGCGCAGGTGAGATTTTCGATCCCAAACGCGTCCAGTGCAGAAACCCTGAAAAATAACATTTTTTTCGAAATAAATCAAGTTGAAGAAGACGGTAGAAATGGCTGAATATTGCGTCCAGGAAAGCACGTTCTACGGCCATTTCCAAGCTACCTATCTCCCAGGCACTCTCTCAGAGGAACTATGGAGGGTCAAAGAGCACAATAGTTCACTCTTGGACGCAGCGTGAACACCTCTTCTTCTGAGCGCGATGTCTTCTCTCTGAGTGATAATGGCGGCGATGTTCCAACCAACGGTTAGCCCACCAACTAATGTCCTTGAATGTCCTTGAAAAAATGGGGTTTGGGGCCCTTGAAAACCCTTGAATAATATTTTCATGACTTGGTGCGAACCCTGTCTATACGCCCGGGGCCGATACACGGGCTTTTTCGGTATGCATCGCTATAAATTGTAGGGGTCAAGGCAGGTGTGCCTTCAACTAGAAAATGGGTAATTTTCCTAAATGGCGGTCTGATTGATACCCTTTAGCGGCCATTGTAAATTTCCGCGCGGTTTCCAAACAAATCATGTAAAAATTATCTAAATTGAAAACATGGAAAACAGTGGGGCATACGTTAGAGAGGTTAAGTTACACGTTTTTTGCCCTTTTTCAAAACGCGGTGCAAATCTCACGTTACGTGTAATTTTTAGAGGTTAAGTTACACGTGCGACGTGACGTGAAATTTTGCCTGGCAGGATTCGGGTTTAGTTCGCACAAATATCTAATCTTCCAACAAACTTGATAAATCTCGATAAAATTCCGGAAACTCACACAAATTTCGGCCGGGATAACCAAGCGAAACTTCCAAAAACTCACGTCATGAACTTACGTGCGGGATAGTCAACTCACGTAAAACACGTCAAATTTTACGTGAGTTTTTTCACTTTTTGACGTAAAAGTTCACGGACGTAAGACTTTTACGTGAAACTTAACCTCTCTGTTATGCATTAGAATCAACCATATTCATCGCTCAGATTATGCTTGACATCCTTATGCGTAGATACATGTAGCTGTATCTCATCGATCCTCTTCAATTTTCCGCGCAGACGAAGGAGTGATTTTCCGTACAAATACAGGAAATACGGAAGGTTGGCAGCACGGCTAGCAGAGGGTATGTGTGTGATACCCACGTAGAGGGTATGTGTGTGATACCCACGTAGAGGGTATGTGTGACCCTAGAAGAGGGTATGTGTGTGATACCCACGCGTGGAGGGTATTTGTGACCCTAGTCGAGGGTATCTGTGTGATACCCACTTAGAGGGTATGTGTGTGATACCCACGCGTAGAGGGTATTTGTGACCCTAGTCGAGGGTATGTGTGTGATACCCACGCGTAGAGGGTATTTGTGACCCTATAGTCTGTTTCAAAAAGATTAGCAATCAGGTTTTGGTCTTAAAAAGTATGAAGATAAGGGAAAATTGGACAACGAAGTACATAAAAGGGCTGGTTAGGGCACGGCAAATTGTTCTGTGAAGGTTTCGGAACAATTGGACCAGCCGTTAAGGAGTTAGAATTTCGGCCAGGTTTCCGGCCTTTTCCCATGGTTTACAATTTGCCCTGGAAGCCAGTATCGATTTTCTATCAAAACCCACGATTTATCTTTTCCTTTCTGGCCTTGTGGTTATGGATGCTGTCTGCTGACCATGAAGTTATGAGTTCAAATCCCAACCTATCTTCAACTCACACTTTTTTTGGTGATCAAGCAGACTTGTTGTTGTTCACGGTTGTATTGTTGTTGTTGGAGCTCCCGCTTCCTCCCGAACTGACTGACACTTGACTGGCTCACGCCATGTGAACACACCCACAACACTGAAACGGTGTGAGTGAATACGGAAGTCATTGCGCTGTAGCTACGTTTTGAATACACCGGCACATCGATCGATCGATTTCTTTTTGAGAATTATTTTAGCATTTCAAGATCGCCAATTTATTTGAATTTAGTAGTCAACGCCGTCTTCTATCAGCTTCCACAGGCTTTTCTCAAAATGTTGTCGAAGTCACACGGATAGCTTCGCCAAGTCATGGCCTTGGGAATGAGTCTGTATCGATGTTGTTTTCGTCACATGGTGAGAGTAAATTGCATCGCAGCTCAAAGAAACTATTTGGTCACAAAACATATTGGGACCCATGCCGCTCGTCAGCCTCGGCATTTACTACACTTTCGACATGTCCTCTCTGACTCCATAATCGATACGAGGAAGAACTCGTTTGTTGTGAACCAGACGTACACGACTATACCGACATCGACCTGAGTGAGTTGTCATTTTTCATGCTTTCGCGCGGAATATTTCTTCGAGTTCACAGTGAGTTTTTCCAGGTAGCGCTCGGGCGCTCATACGGTAAGACGGCAAACTCCCCGGGCGATCACCAGGATTGCTAATCTTTTTGAAACTGACTGTAGAAGAGGGTATGTGTGTGATACCCGCGCGTGGAGGGTATTTGTGACCCTAGTCGAGGGTATGTGTGTGATACCCACGTAGAGGGTATGTGTGTGATACCCACGTAGAGGGTATGTGTGTGATACCCACATAGAGGGTATGTGTGTGATACCCACGCGTAGAGGGTATTTGTGACCCTAGTCGAGGGTATGTGTGTGATACCCACGCGTAGAGGGTATTTGTGACCCTAGAAGAGGGTATGTGTGTGATACCCGCGCGTGGAGTGTATTTGTGACCCTAGTCGAGGGTATGTGTGTGATACCCACGTAGAGGGTATGTGTGTGATACCCACGCGTAGAGGGTATTTGTGACCCTAGTCGAGGGTATGTGTGTGATACCCACGCGTAGAGGGTATTTGTGACCCTAGAAGAGGGTATGTGTGTGATACCCGCGCGTAGAGGGTATTTGTGACTCTAGTTAAGGGTGTGTTTGACTCTCCAGTACCCTGGTAGAGGGTATGTGTGACTACCGATACCCTAGCAGAGAGTATGTGTGACTGCCCGATATCCTAGTGAAGGGTATGTGTGTGACTCTCCGATACCCTAGGAGAGGGTATGTGTGACTCTCCGATACCCTAGGAGAGGGTATGTGTGACTCTCCGATACCCTAGGAGAGGGTATGTGTGACTCTCCGATACCCTAGGAGAGGGTATGTGTGACTCTCTGATACCCTAGGAGAGGGTATGTGTGACTACCTGATACCCTAGTGAAGGGTATGTGTGACTCTCACCTGTTCGTGGCCCTTGAACTACATACAAGGTATGGGTGGTGTGTGTGTGTGCGCGAGCACGCGCGCGTATGTGCATGATTGTGTTTTGTGATCTCGTTTGCAGTTGCTGCTGCCGTGGCCCCCACGCAGCACATGGGTACTGTGTACTTTGACTACGCACGGCAGATCGCAAACATGCAGCCGGTCAACCCAGCACCCATGCATATGGCTCCCCGGGTGGCATCGCCTGCGGTGGTAAGTGAAAAATGAGATTCCAACGTGAACTAGGGCCGTGTGTTAAAATTAAGACCAGAAACAACAGATAGCCTCGCTCGTCATCATTTCAAATGCTTGTTTGGCATTGTCTACCCTTCGGTGGTGTAAATTCAACTCATGAACATCACCAAGCAAACGTTATTGGATTCAAGAAGTTCTTCGAATGATTGTGGTGGTGGTGGTGGTGGTGGTGGTGGTGGTGGTGGTGGTGGTGGTGGTGTGTGTGTGTGTGTGTGTGTGTGTGTGTGTGTGTGTGTGTGTGTGTGTGTGTGTGTGTGTGTGTGTGTGTGTGTGTGTGTGTACCCCCCGCCCCCCCCCCCCCCCACACACACACACTGCATAAGGAGCTGCATCTGCGCCTTGATCCTTGAGGGCGGTGGCGTTCCTGCGGATGTTGAAAACGCAGTCTGACCGAGTCTCACGCGAGCTGTGAAAGACATTTCTGACTTCCGAATATAGGCATGTTCTTTGGCTGTCAAAGGGCTAGCATCAGTAACTGTTGTTTGTTGTGCTGCTGCTGCTGCTGCTGCTGCTGCTGCTGCTGCTCTTACTGTGGCTGTAGATACCGTATCAGCTGCAAAACGGCAAGCTGAGCACAGCTCCCGACATGGGACCTGCTAATGGACCGGCAGCAGCAGCACTGCTGCCCACCGCTATGGGTGCTGCTGGCCTGGCGTACTACCACCCGCAGGGCCCAGTACACCCGCAAGGCCCAGTACACCCGCAAGGCCCAGTACCGGCCAGCCACTACCACATGGCACCGGCTACTTACAACATGATGCCTCCTGCCGCTGGCACCGTCGCTCCTGCAGTCCCTCCTGCAACGAGGGCGCACATGCAGGTCTACATCTGAGCGGCGGCTGCCGCGTGTCGTCAAGAGTACATGACCCTCCCGGGGGAGTGTGCGCAACTCCAGCATGGGTGGGCTGCTGCCCCCCCCCCCGGCAGAATTTCACGACGACGTCAAACAGGTGAGCTGCACACTCTCTGGGAGGGTCGCGTACTCTTGGTGTCCAGGTGCCAATCTGCACCGAAGGAAGTAGATTAAACAAAAACGTTGACGGAATGGTGAAAGGTCGCTGCCATCGTGAAGAACCAAGTTCATAAAAAACTAAAACTAAAAAAAAAACTAAAAAACCGTTGACGAATGGTGGAAGGTCGCTACCATCGTGAAGAACCAAGTTCATAAAAAACTAAAACAAAAACAAAAACCATTGACGAATGGTGGAAGGTCGCTACCATTGTGAAGAACCAAATGTAGGATGAATGTGCATTACATCCCCTCTCGTCTTACCTTTTGCTACCCTTTTACTCATTTGTTTCTTCTTGATATCCACTTTCAGCACATTTGTCTCTATTCGTTGTCTATTTCCCATGTTTCAATTACGAGATACGCCTAATTTGCAGGGTTCTTGTCGCACTCAACAGAAGAGAACATTTTCTTTCACTTTCGTACGAGCAGTAGTTCCTCAAAAGTTGCTCCCAGTTCCCCACCCTTGCTCTAGCCTCTTTCACCCATGGCAAATACAGGTATCTTTCTTTGGCGTCCATAAGACTATGCTTCTGGTTTCATTTCCACCTGCACTTCCAGGATGATGACTAAGATAACAGTAAGATATTACGCACCCGCCATGCAATCCACTGCAAAGTGTTTTGTGTGTCGCACCGTAGCATGACCAATATGATCACGATCCGATCATCACACTAGTGCATTTATTTTTTTGCACCAACGGTGTTGCTTTCTCACCTTCTGTAGTTTGCTTTTGCCCCTGAAATTAGCTGAATGCATGTATTATCAACATAGTCTACATGTTTGACATCATGGGAAGCAGTTCTCTCACTACCAGTGTAGCTCCGTAATGCCGTAGTTGTTCAATAGTTGCTGCCAGTTTCCCACCCTTGCTCTAGCCTCTTTCACATCCTACTTGTATCGTTCTTCGGCGTCCATGTGCATGCTTCTTGTTTCGTTTCCACCTACACCTGCAGGATCATGAATAAGATAACGCATGTATGCTGCCATCACTTGGAACATTTCTTTCGCTACTAGAGTAATGTCGTAATGCCGTAGTTTTGACGCAACGCACGCCACTGCAAAGTGTTTTGTGTGTTGCACCGTAGCTTAATCAACGCCGAGTGTTCTGTGGCTGTGGTATCTGTCTGTGTGTGCGTGCATGTGTGTGTGTGTGTGCATGTGGGTCTTGATCTGTCTCATTCATAACTTGTTCGCTATCGTCGCTATAAGAGAAAATCTGTGGGTGCACATCCAGTGCATTTGCAGATTTGCGTGCTTCTCTTGCGACGGGCGTATACATGGTGCATGGGGGGGGGGGGGGGGGGGCTAACATTGGTAATTGTGTTGCTTGGCACTCCTAGCTTGTTGGTCGTTTGCATCATTTCTCGTGTTGGTGGGACCGGTCTGGCGTGCTGGACATCCTGCCTACTGGGACTAGTAGTTGTGTGTTCATGGTGAGCGCTGTCAAGTATTCTAGATTGCGAGAATGGTGGCATCGCTTTCGCTACACTGCAGTTCTTTCACAATTTTTTGGGCAATCCCCCATGGAATGCTCTTCCACTTATGTTTCTGAAATCGATGTCTTCATAACAATAGGATTTCGGCCAGGTTTTGCCCCAAGAGCACTGAATTGGGAGAAACCATGAAAATCCAGGCCGTTTCACTCCACTTGCAATAGTACCGTAAAGTACCGCAAGAGCACCCCGCCATCTCGTCCTTTCGTGGTCATATTGTGGAGGTGGTCTGCTGTCTGTAGGTCATACAACACAAACCTTATACAAATAGTGCACGTTTTGCAGTCAATCCGCACCTTCGAGCAGACACGAGCTCCACACAAAACCCTGCTAAGTGTGACCCTAGTACACGGAGGTTCTCACACCGTACAAACTTCGTTGCACTCTGCCATACCCTCCTTTCTCTGGCTGTGAAATCAAGGTGGGGCGCTCTGGCGGTACTTTACGGTACAGTGTGCGGTTCGAACCCGGGTTGAGGTAAATGTACCTTTGCCGACACTTCTTCAAGTTTCAAATGTTGCTGCACTGCACAGCGTATGATAAACTCACGAAAAATCACCAAATACGGCAGCTCGCCAGAGCCAGCGCTCATCTTTTTCTGAGTGGACTACATGTACATGTACGGTATCCTGGACATGGCTGTACAGGCTATCCTGTGCACATCGCTGTATCTGATCAATCCTGAAGATGACACCGTGTCCACAGATTACAGCATGCTGCAGTCAAGAGACCCTTGAAGAAACTGTCGACGGTTTGTGAGAGCGAAGCAAGCAGACACGCGCGGCGTACAGCGTACAAACAACACCGAGGGAGCAAGACTCCACGTGCTACTACAAGTTCTATTGGACACCATAGCACACCATAGCATAAAGCAAATTAACTTCAATCGGAAGAAGAAGAAGGAAAAGAAAGAAAAAAAAGAAAGCCAGACTAGCAAACCTGGCATTTGATAAATCACGTGTATTTCATGTAGACAGAGACGGGTACATAATAGATTCACCTCTACTGATACTTTTGGAAATGATGCTGTGGCAGGATGCGGAGAAAATCGCATGCAGTTAAAATCAATCCCACTGTCCAACAACAACAACAAAAAAAAGAATAGATATATTTAGCGAACACAGACGACTGCCAGCGCCTGTGCGAATCTTCGATAAGGGAACATACGCAATGCATCCAAATTATACATGGGCTAAACTAAAAACTGGGCGATGGGAAAGACTGAGAAGCAACAGGATGACGAAGTGATCCACACCAGGTACACAAACTCGGTCAATGGCAAGTCGACACATTAGATGATATGAAAGCCAATACGTAGGAAATTTTTGTAAACGTCTTCACGTGGTAAAACAAAGGACATCTTGCAAACACTGTCTTCGAGACAGCCCTTTGAGGCTGGGAATGGAAATTGAAAAATCAGAGTGGCGGGGAAGACGAAACAAGCGTGTGCCTCCATCGGTGCCGGAAGCGCTACAAGGAATGATTACTACCTGCGAGCTACAGGACTAGGGTGTCGTAAGAAAAACAGCGGCAAAAGAAAGACAGGCCTTGCACGGTGGCGCAGCTGATCAGCTGCAGCAGCCAGATTTCGGCTCTGGCTGCGGCTCATCTTTCAGGTGCATACCTTCATTGGTGCCACTCCCCTCCCAGTCATTAGCACGGTCGTTCTCCAAGATCTGCAACAGGTGTTACAAATGAAAAAAAGAAGAAGAGAACGCTTCTCGCAGCTGCGCGACAACAGCAATCTGCAGCAAACGAGGCGCATACTGTCTACACTGTACTGGCCAATGCGTGTACACCACCACCATGCACACTGACCAACCTCGCCGTCACCATGGCAGACAGTCCGCTAGAAAATAGCCAGGCCAGCACACAGGCCGTTCACTTCGATGTTGCTTTAAAAAAAGGTATTTTAGCATCTCACTGCATACCGCCCTGCAGCCAAGGGACACATGGATTCAAGTCGCAGCTGTGACACCAGCAAAGCGATTGGAGCGGCTGGTTAAACGTAACGTCTGGCATTGGTACACTTGTACGATCACTAGACTCCAGCTGTGGTGTTAACTCTTTAACTTGCTTGTCTTGGAGTGAGCTCCCCAGAAAGTTCGATAATTGGAAAAAAAGGTTCAATGATTGCAGTTTAATCACCTATTTAAAAAAAGTTCATTGCGCCGGAATAGATTTTCGTGACGACAAGTGAACTGTCCGTGCATGTGAGAACACCAGGCACAACGCAAAGATACCCAGCCATTGTACTCACCGAACTAACGAGGAACTTGGCTGCCTCATCAATGTTAATGTTTTCCTTGGCCGAGGTCTCGAACCAGCCAGCGAAGCCACGTTCTTTGCAGTAGTCGTCCATCTGAGCACTGCTGTTGACTAAACCCTCTTTTGCTTGGTCGCACTACACCATGACAGAGAGAAAGACAGAGAAAGACATAGAGAGAGAGAGAGAGAGAGAGAGAGAGAGAGAGAGAGAGAGAGAGAGAGAGAGAGAGAGAGAGAGAGAGAGAGAGAGAGAGAGAGAGAGAGAGAGAGAGAGAGAGAGAGAGAGAGAGAGAGATGCAGGTAGAGAGCAGGCAGAGGCACACAGACACACACACCCCACATTACACAAAGCAATGAAGACAAGTATAGCAAGCAATGAAGACAAGTATAGCAGGCAAAGAATTTTCTTCCTACTGGTAAAACTAGGTTACCCATGGCTGGAGAGCCACAGACAAATGGATTGCCTCAAGTGCCGTAATTCATACCCGGCCGTTAAGACCTATTTCCCGCACTCGGAAGAAACCGTGAAGTGCCCACTTTTCTTGGGCAGGCTCCGAATCAACCATTTTATACCACTACTCTGTCAAATCCCGCACACACACACACACACACACACACACGGAATACGCACGCGCTCCTCCCTGCCCCCCCCCCCCCACACACACAAACAAACACACGCATGCACACACACACACACAGGGTACAACCGACACGCCTACAATCTCACCTTGTTCGCCAGCAAGACACAAGGAACAGGCTTGCCATTGGGAAGTGTCACCTTCGTGTCAAGGTCATTCTTCCATTTCTGCACTGCTTCGAACGTTGAGGTTCGCGTTACGTCAAAGACAATGAAGGCCCCGACAGCTTCCTTGTAATATACCTGACATGGTGCACATGCACATACACACAAAAACGGGAGAAAACATAAGTCTTATGATAAGATGAGTCTTGACACTGAACGTGACGCGTCCGTCGCGCCGAGAGTGTTAGTCAAGGCAATCAGGTACTGTCCATGTATAGCTACCCTACTACTGTCGTGGACATGGAAATCCGGTCGAATGACCGGGGCCGGTGCCCTCAGCGTGTACAGTACGTTGCATGCAGTGCACATGTTGATCCGACCCGACCAGCACGCTGCAGCGCATACCGTAAAGTCGCGGGAAAAAAGCCGGGCTTATAAGCATATAAGCCGCTTTCTGCATCAGGCTTTAATGCAAACCAGGCTTGTATGCAAACCATGCTTATATGCACCACACTTGCATAGAAGCCAGGCTTCTATGCGCGACACGCGTAGATCTGCCACTGACTACCAGTATGGTGGCAGTTTTACTATGCACCGTACATAGCGCATGCACTCTTGACCTACCCGATCCGCGCTTGCATAGAAGCCAGGCTTCTACGCGCGACAGGCATATGCATTTGACCTGTTTGATTTTCAGGCCTCTATCCGCGATGTGCTCGTATGCAAACCCGGCTTTTATCCGCGACTTTACGGTATATGAATGTTGTGTGTACCGCTTACTCATGGTTGCATGGCCAGCGCCCTGGGGCGTTTGATTTTCAGGCCTCTATCCGCGATGTGCTTGTATGCAAACCCGGCTTTTATCCGCGACTTTACGGTATATGAATGTTGTGTGTACCGCTTACTCATGGTTGCATGGCCAGCGCCCTGGGGCCGCTAGACGTGCGACAGGATGTCCATGTCCACCACAGTACATGCACTACTGCAGTGCTGCTCAATGAAATCCAGTCGCGTCACTCAAGTTTGCACCTTTCACCATTTCGCAGCCCCCCAGTACTTGAAAGCCCAGGGCTGCGCAACGCTCGGCACGCACTAGAGTGACACGACTGGATTTCACTGAGCAGCACTGTTGACATAAACTGATAAAGAAAGCTGGGCGGGCTCCGTACATATTAGACATGTCAGGTTGCCAGTACAACTCACTCTCGTTATCGCAATTACAAAGTTGATGTCGCCAAATTCACTGTTCAACAACACAGTCATAGTTTTAGTGTTCACACTACGTTCCATGGTACCCATATCCAGCAGTGGAAATTGAGTAAAAATGCATCATCGTTCGGACATTTGCGCACAACGGTAGAGGCACGCGCCTTACGGTGCAGTAACCGCTGCCCCCACCCCCCACCCTGCGCGTGTGGCTTCCCAGCTGGCTTTCGGCAGGGTGTGGGAATTAGATCAAGGCTCTCAAGTGCAGTGACTTATGTTGTACAACTACAAGAAAGATCAGACTTGCCCTGCTCAATGATGCACTGTGTTATGATCATTCTATAAGCATACCTGCACTGGCACGTATCGTGTACAGCAGTGCATGCGTTGGCTCAACACCGTACTTTGACGTACACGCCGAATGAAGTAGTTGCTTCACACGTAGATATCTATCACTCAGTCTACTAATAATCAGGGGGCGGGTCAACGACACTTTACGGTATATGCATACGCGTGGACTGCTGGTTCAACCGTTGTTAGAGTGAACGGTAAATGCAAACCATGGCATATCAATGTAGCCAATCAAAAACTTAGGGGCCATCCGTAAATATAGATATTTATTTTAATAGAAACGAAAACTAATCGTTTAGGGGGGGGGGGGGGGGGGGAGGGGGTTGAGCGCCTGTTCGTTTCTTGAAAAAATATCAATGCACAGTTTGTATGTGTGGGCACGGCCAGAAAAGAAAAGAAAAAATATCGATACTATGCATTGTTTGTATGTGTTCGTTTCTGAGGGAGGGGGTTGAAGAGAAACGACTAGTTTCGCTTCTAAATAAGTATCGGTATTTACGGGTGGCCCCTTATGGGACGACCATCGAAAATTGTGCGAACGGTAAAGTGCTATGTTTATTGCGCAACAAGATATAATGGACAGTTAGCCAAGTAACGCCACAACAATACCGGTAGTATTAACCCTTTCAGTGCCAAGGGGGTCAGAAAAATTCAAATTTTTCTGAGTTGAGCCGAACTCAAATTTTTCATAGCTCAGCTGTATATCCACGGATCTTTACAAACGATGGCTCTTTGGAAAGATATCATGGCCAGGCAGACAGCTGTGAAGAGAAAATGCAGCGAAAATAGTCTTCCTCGCGAGGGTGCCTGAGCGAAGTCCGTTTTCTGCATTTTCGTAGCATCTGCACTTTCTCACGCGCGCGATCGATCGCAGTGCAGTCAACTTTCAACGCACGAAATTCGGACAAAGTTGGCCCGAAAGCCACTGAAAATCTCGATGTTTTGATACCCAATACGCATGGGTTGCCGCGAAAGAAATAGAGAAACCCGCGATGCGCATACGTCATGTTTTCTACGCGCGACAATTGTTTGTCCGAGCGCGCGCACTTCAGGCTTCGCCCTGGCGATATCTATCCCCACGGACACAAAGCGATGTGATGAGTCAATAGCCAAGGTCTTCCTGAACACGTAGAGTGGTCGTTTGTAACTCTCCTGTGTGTAGAAGTGGAGATACAAATTTATTTGTACACCCATACTCATTCTGGGCGACTAAAGTCGCCCGTGGCACTGAGAGGGTTAAACGAGAAGACCCAGACCAACAACGACGGCGCAGCAGCCGCAACAAGAGAGTCAAAAGTATGGTAATGCTTACCCTGGTCATATTACCAAATCTTTCCTGACCTGTTGCACATCAACAACCAACAAAATGATGAATAAAAAAACAGCAGGGGAGGCAGACACTCACACAAATGATCATACTACATGTACATTTGTGTACATTCTAGGGAAATGTCTGGAGGAGGCTAGTGAAAAGAAAAGAGGCACAGACAACAATAGTGTTGCTATCCCAAGCTTTTCCCAGTCGGAGTCGGAGGTGAGTGGAGTGTGTGCGTCTGTCTGTGTCATGGTACAATAAGTAACATGGTGTGTGTGTGGAGAGAGAGGGGGGGAGAGGGGGGGGGGGGGGGGAGAGAGAGAGAGAGAGAGAGAGAGAGAGAGAGAGAGAGAGAGAGAGAGAGAGAGAGAGAGAGAGAGAGAGAGAGAGAGAGAGAGAGAGAACCGTTGCAACATCCCGCGCATACTGCACCTGCAATGTCCCATAACTGCAGTCGTATTAAAGTGTCCGCGTCCCAATTGATGACTTTCAGTGCAAAGTCAACACCGATCTGGTGAGCACATTGCCGTTAAGGAAACCTATTGGGACTCTCCCTTTTACATTAGGACGCTAGAAGTGCTGCCAGTGTAGAGCACAATGCAAGGGTCACAACAATCACATAACAAACTTCAGTTGCGCTTGCTGAAATCCGACCCAAAGTGCATATTTGGCGCCCTCAACTTGCACGGCCCTTGACGCCCTGGAAGTGGCACGAATGCGGCTGTATGTGCACATGTACAAATACAATGATGTAATCGGAACGGGTCCAGGGCGCCAGCTTTGCACTTTGGGTCGCATTTCATCGAGCGCAACTGTAGTATAGCAGTAGTATAGCAGTAGGAAAACATGAACATCACTCTAGGAGTAGAGACAGAGCAGCCGACTGGAACAACTTCAACAAGCAGAGAAATAGCCGAATCAAGGATACGGTTGCCCTATAATGAACAGAGAAGAACTGATGGACGTATCGCTTGATGATGGACGTCTTCCCGGTGCCCAGGTCTCCGATGACGAGAACCTTGTACAGATGCTCCTTCTTCTCAGCCTGATGGAGACAAGACAGTAGTAGCACATACCGACAAAGTAAGAAAGAGAGAACGAAGGCGAGAGAGAGAGAGAGAGAGAGAGAGAGAGCGAGAGAGCGAGAGAGAGAGAGAGGGGGGGGGGGGGAGACTGGGCTGCTGATAGTAAACATGGTAAAAGGATCAGTAAATTGTGATGGCGATGACTCAACCCACCACAACAACCGCACTACTTTCCAACTGTCTCGCATGCTCCCAATACATGACTGAACGGATTTCCATAGCCCTTTTCGTCATAGCTTTTCTCTGTGAACAGCTACAAAACTGCGTTATGCACAACCCCTCTAATGGATGCGTATCTCGCGCTACGGGCACAAGACTAACACAACCATAACAGAATAGAGATGTAGATGCTGGCAGTAGGCAACTTTCAATTGTGTCAAATGCCATTGCCAAAGTACCCCCCCCCCCCCAAAAAAAAGGTTTAGCGTTGTCACTTGATATAAACAAAGATGGGCACATTGAACATGGCGACGTAAGGTGAATATGTTCATCTTCATGTCATAGAGGTCATGACAAAATCTCCAGGAAATCATATCAAATTCGGCCTATTAGCTAAGCGCAGGCACTCATGACACGACACGGTGAGTAGACTGCACCTCGTTTCTGTCCGCGGGAGGAAATAGCGGAAGACCAGCTCAAAATTCGCAGCACGATTTGAGGTCAACATTGGCACAATTCGTGGGAAATTTGTGACAGTTTTTTGGTATACTTGCAAGTGGATTGGTCAATCTACCAGTATGCCTGCCAAAAACTGTCTATCTTTCATAAAGAACTAAACCAGGTGATGCAAGCACAGTCGATCAGAATGTTTTCACGCAACAAAACTTCAAAATTTGCGGATTTCTAAAAAGTCGTCAAACCGGGGGAAAATAGCATCCGTGGAATTGCAATTTTCCCCCCGAGGACAGTGGTCTGTTCAGATCCAGATCCAGATCCATAGGATCCAGTCGATTTGCATTCATCGACTGTTTGAATCCAGATCCATGCAACTCTAGTGCGGGAGCAGGGTAGACAGGTTCCGACTGATTCTTTAACGCCTAACCGAGATGCCTGCACTTGGTTGGCGGGTAACAACCTTATTGTGTAACTTGGTGCACATACACATGGGCATACACTGCACAATGCCGCATGCCGGTAGCCGTGGAGTGACTTTCCGCTCACATCAATATATAGAATAAGGTCGTAGTAGCGGTGTGAGCAGACGTGATCCATGGGTTCTGTCTTCTAAGAGACCCAGTGGATCTCGGATCTGGATCAGGATCCGACCAAACGACCACAGCCTATGAAAAGTTACTTCTTAGTTTAAATTATGATAGTGCACTTTTAGCACTTGCATCTCACTCTGCAGCTCATTCAGCCCCGGGAGCCCAGACAAAGCCTGTCGGCAACACCTGCTACGGTACTCGTACTTGCACATTATTCATAATCGTCAGTGCTTCATGCACGCTGTACTCGTACGCGATCTGCTGATTTCGCTCTTTTCACGTTGAGAGAACCAATGTCAAAATATTAAAATAATTGTCACGAAAAATGTGAAGCAGGAAAAGACTGTCTTGTTCCACGCCTAGCTCTTGATAAAAGGGAAAATAGGAGTGGACTTGATCACACCTCCCGCACAAAAGCACTCAAGTAGCTCAGCGTGCCATGGCTTGGTTGGTGTGGGTAGTCCCCAGGCCACCCACATCTCACCATCAAAATTAATGTAAACGTAAAACGGGGCAAGTAATTGATCGGTACGTAGAGGGTACTCACCATTATTGGAAACACTGGCACTCTCAGCGGCCAGATTCAGTGACTCGGGCAGTAGCTCTTTCGCTCCGGAATGAACAAGTCCAGGAAACAAATAATGCTACAAATCCGTTGTGAGTGTCCTGAAAACTGCTCCAATTATTTCCAAATGCCGAAAACACAACAATCGAGTCGAGGACAGTTGAACTATCAGGCTTTCTGTACGAGAACACAGTGCTCGCACGCGTGCGAGATCGCGATACGCCCGTTGTTCCAGACAGCTACAGAGTAGACTACGAGTACTCGATCGAGTACAAATATGGGTGACCTTTTGCAACAAAAAAAATATAATGTTGCAGATGATCGATGAGATAGATTATAGCTAGCTGCGCCCGCGCGGCGCTAAACTATTCGGAAGTGTAGATCCAGCCAAATCCTTCTTTCAATCTTTGCCTAGTTCTCGTACGAGTAGTTGTAGTTGCTTGCTGGTTAGATCCACCCACACAGCGCAAGCCGTGTAAGTAACTAATTACTTAGTTCAAGAATGTAAAAGACAAAAGAACGTTGGACAAAATAATTACTTCTCCTCCAATATTTCTCACCCTCAAGACAACACAGAAGCTGAATGTGAAAAGCGCAAGTGACTGTTTTTAGGGGCACCTTCGAGTTTGAGTCTCGACTTGCAGGCAAATCAGTGCCGCCACTGTACAGTGTACTGCACTGAGCTGCGGGTCTTGCTATGGTCTGGACTCTGGGTTTCGTGCCATAAACGGGGCCAAGGCGTGAAGTAATGCGTGCGGAGTCTCGGCGTCTGAGCTGCCTCGCCAATGCCAATGGCCAAGTCTTGAGCTGAGGCTTTGGCTGTTGCAGCAACCGCGTACCGCCTCACTGTCATGTCACCTCATGCATGATGATGCACGGACTGCTGCTGATAATGTGACCATCGCCTCTAGATCTGCATGCCAAGTAAAAGCGACTGTGCCTCGTTATGGTCTTTCATCGTTCTCATGCTGCGAATGCATGCATGCCACAACAAGACCTTGAGGTGATCACGTGTCGCCCCTGCGTCGGAGTCAAAGTACAACTGCTAGCAATACAACTGACACTTGGGCAAAAAGGTGAGGACAGACCACATAGACATCCCAGTATCCCTATTTCGATAAGAACCAACTATTTCTTACATCACATCAAACAGCCGTAGCGGAGGATGACTGCATCAGCCATATTCTCTGAACCAGGTGTATGTGTATAAAGTCTTGAGACTGATGAGTAGACACTGGCAGACACAGGAATAGCAATACCAGCGGGTGACTGGCAGAGCCTGAAAGACACAGGAACAGGAAAAGGACTTCATTGTGGTGGTTGCTGGTGACACAGGGCTCTGTATGGTGCATCACCTGACTCCAACCCATGATGACATCATGTCATTCCACATGATGATGTTACCCGTACAGACATGGCATCCAGCTCCTCAGTCACGGTTCAGGGCACAGACCTTGTACAGCAGCCTGCTTGACGTTGTAGGGAGTATTTAGTTGGTCAAGACTACCAAGCTATGCAGTCGTATAGTCTGTGGTAGTATCACAGCAGACTCACGGTGACCGGGGCAGCAGGCGCAGCAGCTGTTTCAAGTCACGCGTCACTGCATTCACAAACCATAGTTTGGTATCTGAGGTCACAGTGGAACAGTTTTTTTTTGTGTACTCCTATCCTTCTTTGCTCTCTAAAGCCATCGAAATTTGGCAGCCCTGCCCGTTTCATACCACCTTTTTTAATAAGCATAAAATTTAATAAATTAAAAATAGCCTATTGCCAGAACCTGGTTGCAGAGAAAATGTCATGTGCTGACACCACTTACCACAGTTTCAATCGAGATTCCATAAGAAAGCAATTCCACCTCCGCCGCATCATGCGGCGTTCTCTGGCCGACCTCATCACACCCGGAGCAACATGACTCCAAGTCACCACTGAGTCAACAGTGTAGATACTGGCGAATAGAATGCCCTCCATACAATGCTGTTTCGACCATTAAGGTCGGCCAGAGAGCACATGCGGTGGAGGTGGAATTGCTTTATTGACGAACAGGCTGAAATCTGCTGCTTACCCTTTTCTGCCATAAGAACTCAATTGAATTTAGTACCTACATGTACATTGTAGTTATACTTGCATAGCAGTGAATGGAATTTTCGGAGACAGTTGTTTGACCACTTTGTGGTGGGTTTGATCCACTCGCCAGTGACCTCCCACTGCTGGAGAGTCTGTATCTCAGTGCGCCTTAATCCCGGCTCAAGGGTGGTGGTGTTTCTATGGAGAAAGTCCAGTCAGTGACTGAGTCACCAAGAGCCTGCATAACTCTCTTGATCTCATGTTGATCTCATGTACGTGTATGAATGATCCGTATGAATGATCCGCAGTCAGAAGCGTTAGGCCCTTGTGCACACAATACTCAATCGGGCATGATTCAGTGCAGCCTACTTCGCAGACACGCAGTGCGTTGGTGTTGTGATTATTTTACAAGCATGCCAGCCAATTTACCGGTTTTGAATGCCAGAATGTTGTTCATCCTTCACGAAGCCGGAAAAGATAGAGTGAAAATGAAAATTATAGGAATTTGCAGGACAGCATGCTCTCTATAGGTTGAGTATGGTGCACATTCAACATGTTCTGTGCGTGTGTTCCAGTGCTTCCACGGAACTAGAACGGGTACCCTGAGTTTTTTTGTTGCAGAAGTTGTTGAAAGTCGAACAAACTACTAAGGCTCCTGTGTTTGGTCCTGCTCGTTGTCCCGTCCTTGGAAAGGACAGGAGTCGACTAAAGTTTGTAGTGCCGTCAAGTCTGTTGTTCGTCGAACATACTATGCAGTACACTTTGTGCCAGTCTTTACGACGGTGCGTGCGTTTACGGTGCGGAAGGATGTCCTACCAGCCCTTCACCTTAGTCATCTTATTTACAATTTTGAATGCCGACAATGCGCTAGTCGGTATGTTGGTAGGACTGTTCAGCACCTAAACGCACGCATCAAACAACACACACCACGTCACATACTTCCACCTTGCGCACAACAACAAAGACCGAAGCGAGGGCGACCCAGAAAACAACCGTTACCTACACAACTTGTGGATCCTGGTTCACAGACTGTGCTTGCTCCGCCGTCGCTGGTGGAGGAGGGTGGGCGTGGTGGCTCATCGGGCCGGCTTGTGTCGCCGCCTTTGCTCCTGCCGTCGGCGGTTCCTTCGTCAGTGCCCCCGGCGGCTTTGGCTGGGGTGGTGCCGCTTGCGGTCCCGGTCCCACTGCCTCCTCCTGATCCTCCGCCATCGGCTCTTGCGGCGGTGGAGCTTGCCAGTGACAGACCGCGAGCAACATCGACATTGGCAATAACACTACAATTGCCAACTCAAAAAGACCCACCTTGCGTATCAGCAGCTCCCACATCATCACCAACAATGCAATCTACAGCAACCACAACTAATCCACCGTCCAAGCACACTATTGAAAGACCAAGACGATCAACAGCCAACTACAACAGAAGCTACGCACTCAACGGACAAGGGCGTAAGGAGGGACGTGACAGCAGGGTGACGGCCGAGTCCCGTTCAATGGACCAAGTCAGGCGGGATAACAGAGAGAGCGGAGAGGAAGCGGGTGATGGGACGGACGGTGAAGGGAGCAATGAGTCGGAGAGCGACGATTGTAGTGATCGCGAGAGTGCCGGTGAGAATGTTAGTGTTGTGCGTAGGTTTCGTGGTAGCAAATCTTCAGTGTACAATCATCTGTTGACTAGTCCTGATTGTTGCAATTCGTATTCCGACTCTTCTTTCACTGTATTGTGCTGTGGTCGTTGTAGACATCTATTCAGTCACTCACAAGACAGCCATTGTGCTAAACAGATCTTCTTTAGTTCTCTATCAGAAGTGCGCCATGTCATCTCTCTCGTGCTATACATAAAGCGGTACAAGCACGGCATGCCTGCACGTGCGTACATAGTACTACATACAACTGCATGTACGATATCTACATTACCCCCCTTCCCTCAAAAAGAAAAAAAAAAAGAAGAAAGAGAAAAAAGGAAAACTAAAACAAACAAAAAAACACTTGCATCCGTATCCTGCAGCTTGCAGAGGAATGTACGTACATGTGTTGGAGTAAAAGAGAGACGGGAAGTGTTGCAACTATTAGAAATAATCTGACTCAAAACTTGAGGCAAAAACACCATGAGTTTGAGTTACAATGCAAACTCGACCAATAAGGGGAAAAAATAAAGAAAAATCTAAATATTCACAAGGTAGTTAGAAGATTCTAAACAACGCCAATCTGGTTAGAAGATTCTAAACAACGCCAATCTGGTAGCGATTGAAGCCACTCATTTGGTAATGCATGACTCGACGACTCAGATGTCAGCTTCACGTGCTTTCTCTGTAAGCTTGATCTGACGGCCAGCTCTGGTCTGTACGCCCTCACGGAATACACTTGGACGAGAAGTTGGCGGTGACAGTGACATACAGGCCGGTGTTGCAGGTGATGCTGTCGTCTCCGGTGAAGCTGCAGGAGACAACGGCAATGTGAGCGCAGTTACCGGAGCTTCGGGCCTGGATGTTGCGCTGCTCGCTGACGGAAGGCTTGTTGGGTCGGACACTGGCAGTGCTGGAGCACACACTGGCTCTGGCACATGCTCCCTCTCTGACTGTGCCGGAGGTTCACTCATGGGTGCTTTCTCCGCTGCTGCTGCTGCTGCTGGTGCTACAAACTCGGTAACATGCTGACGGTTCCGGAGCAGTATGCGTGACCCATCAGTGACCCCAACCTGACGACCATACTGCTCTACTACCTTCCATTCTTTTCGAGGGTCGCTGTACCCATCATGGAGCACTACCCGCGTACCTGATGGCAAATGGGGTAACTTGCGGACACCTCGGCGCGAGTCATGACCTTCAACCATTGCTGCTTTCGCCTTGATCTGCTCAGATGGGTTGACGATCTGTGGGGTGATGGATGCTGGAACCCGTGTCCGAATGACTCTGCTGAACAACGCTTCGCTCGGCGATGTACCTAGCATCCGGTGCCGCGAATTGCGAATGTCGAACAAGACTTGAGTGATGCGGCGGTGTAGCGGTAGATGAGGTCTCAGGCTGGCAACTCGTTCTTTCACCAGACGATGTAGTCGCTCCACCATACCGTTAGAGCGGGCATACCGGGGGCTAGACTTGCAATGCTCAACACCCAACTGAGCGAGAAACTTGGACATCTCAGTGGATGCAAACTGTGGGCCCCAATCCGAGACGAGTGTTGAAGGCAGACCAAACCGTGCGAACAACTCCATCAGCTTGTCGATCACACCCGTTGTCGTAGTATTGGACAGTGGTAGAAGCTCTGGCCAGCGGGAACCATAATCAATAGCAGACAGGAACGTGGCTCCCTCAATGGTAACAAGGTCAATGGCCAGTTTCTGCCAGACACCTTCTATCTCTGTAGGGAGGAGCTGTTGCGCTGGATTGGAGCGTTTACGCCAGCATTCAGAGCATTTCTCTGCAAACAGATTGGCATCCTTCATGAGACCTGGCCACCAAACCCGTTCGCGAAGGGTATCCCGGAATGCATCGATGCCTGGATGACCTTCATGTGCTAGTCGCAGCACCGCTGGGCGGAGCTCTTCTGGAATGACGTAGCGATTGTCTAGCATGACAATCCCTTCAATGACTGTCAGCTGATGGCGTAGCAGGAAGTAAGGCTCTTCCGTTTGGATGCACCCTGACCAAACTGATGTGCCCACTCTTTGTCGGACGCTGCTCAGTGTCGGATCAGAGTCCGTGGCCTGGCGAATATCCTTGGAACGAACCGGACAAGCCTCGAGAATGAGACTAACGAATTCCGCCATTGAACGTGCCTCTGCAGGTGAAGCTGTGCGATCAGGTAGAGGAGCTCGAGAGAGGGTGTCAGCACAAACCATCTGCTGGCCAGGGACGAACACCAAGCTGTAGCGATAGGGCATCAATGCGACCAGCCATCTCTGAAGCCTCGGTGGCACTTCGTCGAACGGCTTCTGGACGATAGAAATAAGCGGCTTGTGATCCGTAAACACTTGCACTTCTCGGCCTAGTACATACTGCCGAAAGCGAGTCAGGCCGAATACCACTCCCAGCATCTCTCGTTCCAGCTGAGAATAGCGTGACTCAACATCTGATAGAGAGCGACTGGCACATGTCACTGGTACCCAACAGCCACTGGTATTCTTCTGCCACAGGACTGCTCCCAAACCGTCTGGCGATGCATCACAGCTGATAGCAGTAGGGACGTCTAATGCTGGTTGAAAGAATGCCAACGCTTGCAAAGCTGACGCTATACCAGCCTTTGCTGAGGTGAATGCCTGCAGGACTTCATCATCCACACTGAAGGGATCACGCTTTGCTAGCCTGCGCAGAGAAGCCGTGATCTGGGCCAAGTTCGGAATGAACTTTCCAAGGTACGTAGCCATCCCCAGGAACCGTCGCACATCAGAGATAGATTTCGGAGGGGCCAGCTCCTGGATGGCTTGTAACTTGTCATCATCTGGGGACAAGCCGGTCGCACTTAGCCAATGTCCCAGATACTTCACACGGTCCTGGTTCAGTCGGCACTTGGTCCAGTTGAGTTGGAGGTTAGCTGCTCGCAGTCGCTGCTTGACTGCTTCTAGCCGTGCATCGTGTTCTGCTTGATTGGAGCCAAACACTAGGATGTCGTCGATGTAGACGATGACTCCTGGCAGGCCTTCCAGAATGTCGGACACCACTCGCTGGAAAATCTCAGGCGCACATGCGATACCGAAAGGTAAACGCTTGAAACGGAACAGGCCACAGTGCGATGAGAAAGTCGTTAGAGGCCTTGCTTCTTCTGACAAGAGTAGCTGATGGAATCCAGATTCCGCATCCAGAACTGAGAAGACCCCTGCGCCATCAAGCTGAGCTGTGATCTCGTCAACGGTTGGAAGAACGTTGCGCTCACGTGTAACTCTCTTGTTCAGTTCTCTGTAGTCCACGCATAGTCGCAATGCTCCATTCGGTTTGCGGACTGGAACAAGTGGTGACACCCACGGCGTGGCTTCCTTGACGGGTTCAATGATATCCAACTTGGTCAGCCGTTTCAGCTCGGTCTCGATGTCAGCCCGGATACTGAAAGCTGGGCGTCGTGGTGGCTGGGCTAGAGGCTTTGAACCGTCTTCCAGAGAGATTTCGATGGGTGACACGTTCACCACGTTTGCTTGTGACAGGAGGTTCAGCTCCTTGATGACATCCTGTCCGAAGAGAACGGAGTGCTGACTGGCTGCTACCACGAAACAACTGCACTTCACGTTCTTGCCACCATGTGAAATGTGGACGTCAGCCATGCCCAAAGTCTCTACGACACCGCCATTGTACGCTTTCAGCAAGCGGTCACTCTTGCGCGTGGGCTTGATCACATCATCAGTGAGGATCGTCCGAGTTGCACCTGTGTCTAACAGTCCAGTGCACAGCTCACCATTGACTTTGAGTGTAGTCTGGAATGTCTTGTCGCCAGCGAGTGCATAGCTACTGACGGCGAAAGCGGAGTCGTACATGCGACTTGCATGCTCATACTCATCAGGCTCATCCTCTACTGGCCGGGCTCTTTCTTCGTGTCTTTCCACTTTGTTTGACATGCAGACCGCTGCAAAATGCCCTCGCTTGCCACACTTGTTGCAGGTGACGTTGGCCGCAGGACAGTTACGCATGCCTGGTTTGTGACTACGTCCGCAGTATTTGCACTTCTTTCCCTCTGATCCAGAACCAGCTGCAGAGACAGCTTGCACACGCTGGATGGGCACGGGGAACACAGGCGGTGCGTCACTAGCTCTGGTACTATCGTACAGTTTACTGTCAGTAATCGACGCTTCCAACGCCACTGACTTGGTGACGGCGTCGTTCAGGGTCAGCTTCGACTGTTTCAGCAGCTCCTTTCGAAGCTCAACAGAACGCAGGCCCACGATCAGCTGGTCGCGAATTTGGCAGTTGACAATGGTATCCACAGAAGTGGAGCTGAATTCGCAAACATCTGCCTTTTCTCTCAGCCGCCCAACGAACGAAGTCACCGACTCGCCCTCCATTTGGCGGAGTTGGCGGAATTTGTGACGTTCAGACGTGACATTTGTTGACGGTCGAAAGTGTGCCAACAATGCGTCCGTCAAGGCTTGGTACTCATCTCCAGGTGAGCCATCTTGTGTCTGCTCCACCGTGACAACCAGACCTTTCACAATGCGCCTCACTGCTAATCCAGCCAGATTCAAGAACAAGCGTTTCTTGTCAGCTGCTGCCGTCACTTCACTGATTGAAAGGAAATCATTTATGTCCTCGAGCCAGAGTTCAAAATCAGCACCGACGTTGCTCGCAGCATAGTCAGGAATAAATTCCTTGGGCGTCCTGCCCTTTGTCATTTTCGTTCACTGCGCCAATGTAGACATCTATTCAGTCACTCACAAGACAGCCATTGTGCTAAACAGATCTTCTTTAGTTCTCTATCAGAAGTGCGCCATGTCATCTCTCTCGTGCTATACATAAAGCGGTACAAGCACGGCATGCCTGCACGTGCGTACATAGTACTACATACAACTGCATGTACGATATCTACAGTCGTCATGGTTATGGACTACAGTTAAAAGTTTTGGAAGCCATCTGTCAGCGTCTGTATAAGCCTAATTTGTGTGTACAGAAGGATAGTATACTTGGGTTGAAATTGTTCAAGTAAAGTGTCATGTTTGGTGCGGCCAAGCTTGGCCGTTAATGTTCTAGGTGTAATGTACTGCTGTTATTTGTTATCACTTTGTCCTTCCTTCTTTCTTTCTCTTCTTTGTTCATTTTTCAGTTGCAAGTTTAGTGTTAGTACACGCATTCGTTATTGCTCTCGCTTTCATTGTTAAAATTCACACTTGTAAATTTCACTGCTGTTGTTCTTAGTGTTATTTCTCTAACTTAAATTTTCTATAATAGTTCAATTTTGTTTTCATTGTCCTTTAGTACAACGAAGATTCCTGATGAGTGTTGTACGAAAACTTGTTTGAATCCTCATTTTCTCTACACCATTTCTTCACATTTTCATCGTTTTATTGCACATTCAGGCATAGTGGGATGGTCTAAGACCATGATTGAGAAACAGAGGGTACCAGGTTCAAGTCCTGCTTGGAAGCGGAAGGAATTTTTCCAGCCGTGCTGCGACCCACAGTTAATTGGGAACTCGTGGCCTGGCACGAGGGTAACATGGATGCAGCTAATGGGATTTCGGTCTTTGACCACTTGGTGGTGCGTCTGATCTACTCACCTCCCACCGTTTAGGCGCTGCATCTGCGCCTTTGATCCTAGAGGGTGGTGGCGTTCCCACGGCGGATGCGGAAAACTCGGCTTCCAGCCGAGTCTCACGCGAACCGTGAAATTTATTTTTTATTGCACATTGTCTCCACAGTTTTACATTACATGAATAAAGTGTACACAAATGTCGATCCAGGCCAGCTTGTATTATGATTGCGGTTATCAAATAAATAAATGTTTTCTTTTTATTGGATGTTTTTTCTCGCACTAGCTCGGTCGTACCGTTTCTATGCAGTTTGGATGATTCCCAATGTGGTTCAGCACCGTGATTCCAGGCTTCTGGCACTGAAGAGGAGCTAATAGGCTCTCAAATATGCAAGGCACCCGTCGCTGTCCAAAGCCGCAGTGCTGATGATGATTGTTCGTTGTCTGCTTCACTTCTCGAAGTCAAACTCAAAGGCTCGGGGAATGAGTCAGCGCGACCCACTTCAGCTGCTCCAAATTCCAATGTGTAACCATCCGTGTCCAAATCAGCCACAGTGATGCTTATCCGCTACGACCCATACCACAGATAAGATCACGCTTTGTAGCTCAGCACTACACAGGACCCTTTCAAAGCCAAAGCCTACATGCAAGAGTACATGGTTTTCATGTACTCTTGCTACATGGAAGTCGATGCTGGATGTGGACGCCTTGGATCCCAAACCGGCAAACATTTCGAACATCACACGTCACCGTACCAAGGAGCTTTCATTCGACAAAATCGTAGCATTGTGATGCTACAACTCGGCCTTGTTCCGGACCTTGCTACTCTACGACGTACATGAAAGTGCAAGGGTACAGTAAGAAATCGTACGTGTAACAGATATACGCATGCGCACTGTCGGTGTTGCCTGCCGCGACCGCGCACCCTCAAAAACAGCAACACTCGTATAAACTCACCCAACGACGTCTCCTTCTTCGTTTTCATACAAACAATCCTTGGGAGTGACATTTAGTTTGTTTATATCATAGTAATCATGTCTGCCGATCGTCTTGAGTCCATCGCTGCCCGCCTGGAGGCTGCCGTTAGCAGGCTTGAGTCCTGCAAAGGTGGTGCTGCTGGTGGTGCTGCCCCCGCCGAGGGAGGTGAGTGCCGAAGCATTTACACAACATTGTCTTCGTCTCTTGCTCTGCGGAGTTTGAGTTGAACGAGCATTTGATTACAGTTACTTACACACACTGAACTATTCTTCGATGTCCCTTTCTCCACTCTAGAGCCTGCTGCTTTTGTCGAGGCCTTCGATGAGGTAAGGCAGAACTTCGAAAGTAATACAACGTGGTAGTGCCCTCAGCTGTCTTCTTTCGAAGCTTCATGCCCTTCCGGTGTCTTGTTCCTGTTTGTGTCAGTAGGAGTTCTCATTGGCTTGTCTTCCTGCTCGTTTGTTCCTCTTCACAGATCGTATCCAACAAGGTTGCCCGCTTCTTGGCCCTCTCCAAGGAGATCGGCGGTGATGTCGCCACTCAGGTTAGTACTACTTTCGAGATGCTTCTTCCGCGGGAATTCCCACGGCCTTCGTTGTCTTTGTCCTCACACGATCTCTGACTTGCGGTGTATGGCATACCTCTAGCTCCACAACCCCCACATTGTCTCCAGATACAATTTCAATAATTCCTACGGCATCAGTGACGTTTCAGAATCAACTGGATGCGACATACGGTGTCTTCATTGTCCCTGAGCTACCGCCTGGGAAAGCATTCCTGCATGATTGAAATGCCCTGTCGAATAGATCAAGGGCTTTGCTGGCTGGCAAATGTGTAAGGATTCCAAGCAGTCTGATCAGAAGTTATTGCTGTTCAGTCCAATGCACGTTCTAACTGAACACAGTTCACACGGAATGTTGTCAGGAGCACTATCCTGTCAAATAGAACCTAACGAGACAGAGTTTCACGGGAGTTGGTCGTATGGACGTATGCCAGATAACACCAAACTACGAGTATCTGATTGCGCTTGTGGTGTATTTGATGTGCCACCAGGCTGCCATGGTCGAGGCCGCCTACAAGGCCGTGCGTGCCGTCCTGGTCACCGCATCCAAGTGCAAGCAGCCCGCCGCCAACGTGATGCAGGCGCTGCTCAAGCCCATCTCTGAGCAGATCGGCGCCGCACAGCAGTTCCGCGAGAAGAGCCGCGGCAGCACCTTCTTCAACCACCTGTCCGCCGTGAGCGAGTCCATCCCGGCTCTCGGCTGGGTGTCCATCACCCCCAAGCCAGGCCCGTACGTCAAGGAGATGTCCGATGCCGGCCAGTTCTACACCAACCGTGTGCTCAAGGAGTACAAGGAGAAGGACCAGAAGCACGTCGACTGGGTCAAGGCCTACCTCGGTGCCATGGTCGACCTCGTCGCCTACATCAAGCAGCACCACACCACGGGTGTGACATGGAACCGACAGGTAAGAGAAGTTAATAGTGTAGTGACACCGCCAGCCAGTAAGGCTGTGTTTACATGAGGCGTCTCAACCCGGGTCAGATTTCAACCCGCCATCTACACAAAATGAATGGCGCGTTTACATGACTCATTGCGCTTGACCCGGGTTGATTTCAACCCTCCCCTTGGGGGAGGGTTGAAATCAACCCGGGTCAAGAAAATCATACAATCGTACTTCTGTGCGTATCTCGCGCCAGGTTTGAACAGCACTGCACATGCAAATTTCGCGCGAACGGTTTCACGTGACCATACAGCAATGTAGAAGTGGACTTTTGGCGGCGTATCAGTATTTGACCCGGGTCAATTGTCTTCGTGTAAACGCTCACCTATTTTGTCTATCGTACAGACTTTCAACCCGGGCTGAAATTTCTCATGTAAACACATCCTTAGGGTGAAGCTGGTCTGCTTTACCCCTACCTTCCACACCTTGGAAGAGTAGGATAGGTGACCGGTGTGCATCAAGATGTGAACTACCATGATGGCATGCACACTTGAACTTCACACCTTTCATTCTTTGAAATAATAGGATAGGATGCCTGGACACCACTAATGCCTCTCTGGGTTCGCGCCACCGATGTGCACTGCTTACAGTCGATAGTATTGATGCCAGCAGTATGTGCATGCAGAGGTAATCTTTTTAGTCGCCGTCTGCACTCCAATGTCCGGTATGCGCCATGCTCACAAAGTCTGACGAACATGCCATGTGTTGTTTCACTACATCATTTTGCTAACCATGCCACATCTTAATCTATGTTTGTGCCCCCCCCCCCCCACACTTCTCTGCAGGGTGGTGAGGCCAAGGCTGATGCTGTAGCCGCTGCCCCTGCCCCCGCAGCTCTACCTCCTGCACCCAAGCTGACAGCAGCTACTACCAGCGATGGTGGTGATGAGAAGGCCCGTGCCGGTCTGTTCGCCGCCCTCAACCAGGGTGGTGGAGTCACCTCAGGTCAGTATAACCTTTCCAGTTCAATCACCTACATGTACATGACTTTTGTCGTGGGTATTCTGGTGTTACCTAGGGAATGCTCACTCCCTATGTAGTTAGTCTAGCTGAGATGGCTTTTCATCTATTGTGTTGGTGCTGCCAATTGGTCTCTGTCAGTGCCTTTGAGGTAGCATTTATGCTGAATGGCCATCATCCGTCACCTCTGTAAATTGTTGTGCAATCTCCTATGTTTGTGTGTGTGTGTGCTTGTAGGTCTGAAGAAGGTCAGCAAGGACCAGATGACCCACAAGAACCCCGAGCTCCGTGGATCCTCCGTCGTCAAGGCCAAGGAGACCACTGCCTCATCCACCCCCAAGGCCACCACCGCCGCTGTCAAGAAGCCACCAGTGTTCGCCCTCCAGGGCAACAAGTGGTGTGTGGTACGTGGCTGCTTGTGCTCTTGTGCCTGTTCTACCACGCATTGATCGCTTTGAATTGATCAGCTGCTGAGGCCAAGTCCGCAGTGGGAAGTACTGTGCATTGAAACTGGGCATGTTGTGTGTGACTTTTCTTCTGTGAAATGTACGCCTGCTGAATACTGCATGCGTTTTAATATGCCAGCACGGACCTCCTGTTCTCCCTCAAACTAATGTTCTGCAATCTTCTTCTTGTTTGTGCACGCATCTCACTTGATAGGAGTTCCAGGACAACAACCGTGAGATCGTCATTGAGGAGACCAGCCCTCGCCAGGTGATCTACATCTACAAGTGCACCAACAGCACCATCCAGGTCAAGGGCAAGGTCAACAACATCACTCTTGGTAAGCTACCACACTGGGTCAACAATGCTATTTACTTACAACATGTTTAAAACCCCGGGAGTCAAGATACATGTAGGTGTTGGTGGGGTATTCGCATTATTCCATTGTCACCTCATTGACCCCATCACCACCCTCAAGATATTGAATGAGACATCTATGAAATTCCATTGGCAGAAAGTACTGCTGATTTTACTACTACGCTTGCATGTTCTGTGAATGACATTGAATGCTAAAGTGTCTTTCATTTGGCAGTGAGTTCACATTCACAACTTCATGTGTTTTGTGTGCTGGGCGATGTTCTCCTCTGGCTGTTCCATGAATAGATAGTTGCAAGAAGACCGCTGTCGTCTTCGGTGATGTGATTGCCGGCCTCGACATCATCAACTGCCAGTCTGTCCAGGCTCAGGTAAAGTGGTCGTGCTATATACTATGAAACAATATCTGCTCGCGACTGGCATGTGTACTAACCCACGCAGTTGTTTAACGCTTTTTAGCGTCCTGCGACTGTGTATGCACACGCATTGTCTTTAGTCCAATATCCGGACTTTTGTTTGAGAGTGCGGCTTCAAAAGCCCTTTCTAGATGGCAGGAATCAAACACAAATCAAAAAGTCGTTAGTGGACATGTGTGCTAACCCTGTCTTGCTCTCTTTGTTCATTTCTTTCTTGACAGGTTACTGGATCTTCTCCATTGGTGAACATTGACAAGACCGACGGTGCCCACGTCTACCTCAGCAAGGCCAGCATTGAATCCGAAATCGTCACAGCTAAGTGCAGCGAGATCAACATCTCTGTGCCCAAGGCAGAGGAGGGCGAATACGTAAGGGCATCATGACATTTTCACCTCATCTAAGGGTCAATGTGGTCGCCAATCAGGTTTTTTTTGTTTTCAACTGAAAAGCATTCGTTCGGGTTGGGTGCAAATCGTTCTACCTGCAGAAAGGGTGGGGCTGAAAAATACTAAAACTTTTTTCCTTTGCGCATCACCTGAATTTTCCTCTGTCAAAAAACCCAGAACCTAAGTGAACACGTAACATCAAACGCTCAGAGTGCAAGTTTCTTCCAATTTCTGTTGTGTACTTTCTTGCTTATGTTCTAGCGGATGATGATTAACCCACAGTTATGTTTGTGTATTTTGTCTTGCCTGTACAGACGGAATGTGCCCTTCCCGAGCAGTTCAAGAACAAGTGGAACGGCAAGTGCTTCGTCACGGAGCCCACCGAGATTGCTGCATAGATGTCCACTATGCTGCTGCGCATCCTCTCCCAATCATGCTGTTGTACAGAATTGCGTTGTCGCTGGCCCCGCTGTCTTATCGCTCAGAGTTCAATGCTTGTTTAGTAATATTCTAGAGATTTATTCATATCCATGCGCATTCGTTTTGCTTCCCCTTGTTGCTATCTGGCACGTATTGTCAGCATGCGTCCTCCTCACTCCCATTCTGTCGTTCACAGGCTGTGCCCTGAGCGGTAATTGAGGTGTTTTGCTGTTGTGTCTCTTTGTCTGTCGCAATAAGTCGTGTTGAGATATCTACTTTTTATCTGTAACGGGCTGCGTTCTCTTGTGTGCTTGGCTGTCTGTGGTTGCATATGTGCATGTAAGGATTGCTGTGTAATATTATTGATGATGGCTAGACTTGTAGGTTGTTACATGCAGCCACTGAACCTAGAAGCTTGGCTGTCTGTGGTTGCATATGTGCATGTAAGGATTGCTGTGTAATATTATTGATGATGGCTAGACTTGTAGGTTGTTACATGCAGCCACTGAACCTAGAAGCTTGGGGTGCTTCGAATAATGGTTCCATAAGAAACCTGTGCAAGGACTCTTAGGAGTTAGGAAGATGTGATTGTGTGACACCAAGAGTGCATAGATGTGATTGTGTGACACCAAGAGTGCATCAACTAGAGTGTGCAGCTCCACCGGGAAAATCATCCCACCGCAGAGAGTTTTTTCCCGGTATTCGTATCACTTCCAGGCTGTGCAAGTCCATACCAGGGACGTTTCCAAGAACAAGCCCTGCAATTGTAGAAACAATAGTCACTGTCCCCGGGGAAAATTGCGATTCCGCGGCCGCGTTTTTTGCGATTTTTTAAAAGACCGCGTTTTTTTAACTTTTCTGTTGCACTACACGTACACAAAGTGCACTGTTCGGTCGGCAACGTCTCATCCGGTGGCGGCTTTGTATTCAAATATGACGAGCGCTTACACCAGAGACTTGTAACCGATTGATTTCACTACATACTCACTGAAAATTGCCTCATATCAACTGCAAACTTGCCGCCGCGAGATGATATCAATAATATTCACCGCATATTTACCGCAAATTCACCGCATATTATGCCGCGTTTTTTGCGATTTTTTCCGCGATTTTCCCCGGGGACAGAATAGAGACCTTTTGCCTTCCGAATTTCGGTATGTGGAGGCAGGAGTCGAACTTTCGCAAGTACTAGAGAGGTTCCGCACTACGTAAAGTTGAGCAACTTTACGTTAGTGGGCGGGAAAAACCCGTGAATTCGCGAGTTTGCACTCCACTTACGGAAAGTTGTCTACGGAGAGTACGTAGATAGGGCTCTGATAACGTAGCTGGTCCGTAAGTGGATTGGGGTACAAATTTATGACTCTCTCCCCAAGCCGATCTGGTCGTACACGTTGCCAAGGGCAGCTACGTGATTTGAAAACTCCGTATGGCGGAACCCAGATGCGCATGCAGTTTCCGTAAGACTTTCCGTAGATCGACTACGTTTTTTACTAACGTAATTACGTTATGCGGAACCTCTCTATTATCATGACTGTATCACCCCAAATTGCAAGTCACAGATGCTGGACACATTGATTGTAGGTTCTGGGACGGGCCAGGAACATCAGATCAGAGCATGAACACATGGAACACAACACTGCAGCAGAAAAACAGCAACGGGTGACAGGAAGGAAACGTAAAAATTAAACAGCCTCCGTGCGTACTCAAGGGAATTGAAAATTTTAAAAAAATTGACGAAATCACAGGAAGATTGCAGAACAGCATGTATGTTATCAGTCGCATCTAGTGCTGTTGCGTACCTTCTAGCTGCATGGCAATCGCAAGTCAAAATGTTGTGTGGTATTGACTATTGAGTACCACTGTGAGCTGGTTGCCACGGTGGGTGGTGATAGACTAGTACCGGTGACCTTCAGCGTATTACTTCACGTTCAGCCAATTGCCGTTCCGTAGAATCTGCAGGGAATACAGAATCGTGGTGCACACAGGATACGGTGAGCATCCCACACACAGGACAGACTGCTAGGGACAACACTGATCTGTGGTGCATGCACATGTCCCATGCATTCGCTGTGCACGCCCGGCTGCTTGCACAAGCATGGCATGAACGCATCGTAATTCGGCTACATGTAGCACCATAGGCACACATCGGACATAGACGGCAGTGTAGACAGACATGGTCTTCCCGTGAACATACATGCCTAGCACCAAGAGTGTGCGACTCGACGATCCCCCAGCCCACGGCGGAATTTTCGTTATGACATCAGTCTTTGGCGGCTGTTTGGCTCACTGATGCCATTATGCGTAGCCAGAGATCAAAGTACAACTAATTTGTACATTACAGCTACGGTAGTCGAAGCAGAACAACGGACGATAGATCGATGTGTATTGAACCTGATGAACTCTCATGATATCTACAAAACAAGCGCGGGAAAGCATACGCACTTCATCATACTTCTGCCAAAGAATGACGTAAGGCCAAGTAAAAACAACTGATTGTTTATCGTCTGCGCCCGCCCCGATTTTCGCCCTCCCAGCCAAATTATTTTATTTTTTAATTCCGGTAAATGTACTGTATGTACTGCGATCTGTGCCTATACGGCCTCTAATGAGCGTGACTGAAGATCTTGGAAGGCGAAGTCCGCAGATTGAATCATACATGTAGGTGATATAGGCTTGAAAAGTGAAAGATATTATCAGCTGCCTGATTCTCTTTGTTGTCCTACGTTGGTTGTTTCACTTTTCCCTATTGGCATCCTCAAAATTATCTTGCAAGATGTTATTCGTGGCTGACGATTCATCTGCATCACATGGATTTATCTCACTCTGTGCAAAATGGCTTCAAAATAAGAAAATTGAAGAAAGAGGCATGTCTAGGGGTTGCAAACACCTACCATACAGCCATACATGTAAAATGAAGAAATAAAATATAATACCTCCCGTCCGCCCCGATTTCTCAGGAAAATCTGACGATAAACAATCAATATATTTTACATGGCCTAATAAAAAATTCTCTTGCCAGCACATACCTGGCTGCTTACACAGAGCGAGCGGAGGAGGTTCAACACTGCATCATGACCGTGGTCCATTGCTGGCAGTAGAGCCAGGGGTTACCCAGTGTGTCTCCTCTTCGCCTTCCTTCTCGGACTCCTTCAGTGATACCTCGTGTTTGATCGAAGACCTGGCTGGCACCATATGAGGGCTATCAATAAGTCTTACGGGCCCGTCAGTGCTACTGGTTTTTGCCTTGTCGGGGCTGACTTGCTTACGTAGTCGCTTCGGTATTACTTTGGAGTAGGCAGGCGATTCTTTTTCCGCCCCGCGTGATCCTACAGATGCTGCTGCTGGTGTTGCGGCTGCTGCATGTGGTGGCGGTGCGGGCGCTGTGTGTGATGCTGCTACCGGCTGTGCAGTGGAACCGGCGGCCAAGTCAAGCGAGTCGCCATGCTTGCTGCCTCGCCGTTGCTCTAGGTCCTCTTCGAAAGCGGCCATCTTCTGAATGGCTTTCGTCTTCTTGTGATGCTGGTATGCGATCTATTGTTACAGATGCAGGAGAGAGAGAGAGAGAGAGAGAGAGAGAGAGAGAGAGAGTGAGAGAGAGAGAGAGAGAGAGAGAGTGAGAGAGAGAGAGAAAGAGAGAGAGAGAGAGAGAGAGAGAGAGAGAGAGAGAGAGAGAGAGGTGATGATGAAAAAGAAGGGACATTTTCTGTAGAATGGTGATGGACCCAATTGCAATACCATCACTGGAAAGAAATTCAAAGCATACCCCCCTCCCCCAAACACACACACACACACTCCAAAGGCATTCCGTCCCCATAACACTCACTTTTACGAGCAAAGGCCGGGTATACTGAGGAACAAATAGAAACAAGGTCACATTGTGCAAGAAATGTGCAACACCCTACCTCGAATGCCTGTCCCAGCGTCATGACAATTTCATTGGCTATTTTCTAAAGGCAAAGAGCAGAAAATTCAGGATACAGACAAGAAATACTGGTGAACAAGCTACACGAACCCGTGGACAAAGTCAAGAGCAGCACATTTTCTGCAACACCGGGGATCAGGTCTGATGTGTGCGGAAGACTGCAGGGTCCCTGGCACCGTTTTGTGTAAACCTATACAATACCTGTAACAGATATCCTTGGTTGTAGTAGGACAGCTATCTCTCCAACCTATGACAGTATTTACATGTCCGGTTTTCACCCATCAATGTTGCGTGAAAAGGGCTTGCCACCGCAGTATCGAGCCTGCCTCCGGTACAAGTGCGGTGATTTCGAGCAACTACACACACAAAGAGTGAAATACCTGGCTATGCCAAATAAAAGGCTGATCCTGTGTTTCGCAGGCCAATATTGCACGGCATTCATGCACATGTACACATACGGCACATGCCATGGAAGTTAGAACCATACCTTCGTCTCAGCACGCAGCACGTGGCAGAAGCAGAGCTTCTTCTGCAACGGGTCGCGCGTCACGTAGCCGAAAACGGTGGGGTCTTTGACATCTTGGGCAATGTACAGCACCGTCTTTAGCTCATCTTTCTGAATGACGCTCTACAGCATGAAACACCACACCATGCACAACACTATACAGTGAAACAGCTGTCTAAGACAACCGCTCAAGGGACCTTCAAAACGTGGTCTCTGCTCCCAGGTGGTCTCCTCATCCAGGGTCATTTGACTGGAAAAAGCATCTCTTGGTCCTAGTTTCGGTGGTCTTTCAGGACAGGTGGTCGCCTTATCCGAGTCATCGGTCTCATTGACAGGTTTTACTGTATACACTGTACTAGGGCTTGAATATACCCTTTACACTACAGGCTATCTACTGAGCTTAGCAGGTTTTAGTAGTAGTAGTAGTAGAATTTATTATTTTACTAGGGAACTCCCAACAGGCGTTGCCTTTTTACTGGGAACCCTAGGAATGACTTGGTGCTTGTGACAAATGCAGAAAGGGGCTTAGCTTGACGACATCCAGGTGGAAGCATGTTCCATCTGTCTGCTGCCAAAAATGAAATAGCATTCAGGCCGTAACGAGACGTAGCTCTGGGTAGGTTCAGAGCAGCTGAAGCTTGACCGCGGGTAGCAGCATTTGTGCGGCATGATGCAGAGCGGGGGGTAAATATCGTGCTTAAAAGAGGACGGGTGCAACGAGATAGACACCTAAAAACAAACACAAACAGCTTCAAGTTTACACGGCGAGAGAAAGTATACAGGTTATATTTGGTGAGAATGAAATCGATAGAAGTATACTGATCATGGCCAAACACTCGCCTTAGGCACCTATTGCTGGTTGACTCAAGTTTGTCTCTGAGTTTAGCAGACAAGCAGTGAACATAACATGTGCTGGCATAGTCCAAGGTACTCTGGACAATTGTCAGGTAAAACATGCGGCGGCCGGTCATGGAGACATCGCGGCGCCCGTGGCGGAATGAGGCAACCTTGCACTGTGCCTTTGCGCACACACGCTCAACCTGCTGCTCGAAGCTGAGCGACGAGTCCAATAGGAGGCCAAGGTACAGAACATGGCTGGACTCGGGGATTACGGTGCCTTTGCAGGTGATGCTGGGGATCACGTCCAGTTGCGTGATCCCCAGCATCACCTGCAAAGGCAGGTTACACCAGCACCGGCTTTCTTCCACAAAAAATCAGGCCAAAACTGCCCCCGGGGCCCCATATCTTGAGCATTTATTTCCATACCAACAGCTGTAAACTGAATATGGCCTTTTATCACCAAGATGGGGAGGGGCTAACCAAGGCAAAGTACAACACACACACACAACTCACTGTCCCTCTCCATGGCATGGGCATGGGCATGGGCATGGGCATGGTTTCTTGTCGAAACATGTAATAAGGTGGGTTGCACCACATCTGAGCAGTGGTGGCCGAGTGGTTAAGGCGATTGACTAGAAATCAATTGGGCTCTGCCCGCACAGGTTCGAATCCTGTTCACTGCGGCATGGTTCTTTTTTTCTCTTACTCTCTCCTGATAGCAATGAAGCAGAGTTAGCAGACCCAGTTTTTCTCCAAAAATCCCATAAACTCTAGCTCAAATCCCCACTCCCACTGCATGATTGTACTGTAGCGGACATGGAAATCCAGTCGATTGACTGGGGCCGGCGCCCTCAGCGCGTACAGAACGCTGCGTGCATGCAGTGCACATTTTGATCCGATGGGAACAGCGCGCTGCAGCACATAAAATGCATGTGTGTAGATCTACCGCTTCAGCCACGGCTGCATGGCCAGCACCCTGGGGCCGCTAGACGTGCGACCGGATTTCCATGTCCACAACAGTAGGAGGGAGGTTGTACTGGTAAAGGACCATAATTCACCGTCTTACTGCATCAGTATACCGTATTTCCCGGATTGTAAGTCGCACCTTTTTCATGGGCGTAGGAACCGGTCCGGCAGGCCCGGCGGTCGCCGGACCAATAATTTTCGAATTTTTTTCTTTTTTCTTTTTTTACATTTCAACCTTGTTGATGGCTTGTCGACTCTTGTACCGGTACCATGTTTTACATCGACAATGCGGTGTATCATCAGCATTCATATTCTTAGTTCTCATATTATTCTGTAGCATTAAAATATGGCCTTTTAGGCCCAATTTTCAAAACAAATCCCGGGGGAGGACCCCGGACCCCCTCTCACAATTTTGCCGCACCAATATTAAACTGCTTCCTACGCCCCTGTTTTTTACACTAAACTTCAAGGGCAAAGAAGGGGGTGCGACTTACAATCGAGTGTGACTTCTTACTTATGTGAATGCATTGAGACGATTTGGTTCGGACGTGAGAATGGGCTGTGACTTATAAGCAAGTGCGACTTATATTCAGAGAAATACTGTAACACACACACAGAGTTGGAAGGTGAGAGGTGATCCCAGGCACTCACCTGGCTTTTGGAGTCCACAAATTTGATGATGGAACCATGTATCCACAGGGATATCTTCGGAATCTTCTGCATTTTCATTGCCATCATCTACAGGAGACCGTGACAGTGGAAGCATAAAAGAAAAAATACAAGGGGAAGAAGTCACACGAGCTCCGACAACGTAACCCTGTGACAGTGGCTACCACTGTGCCTGAGGCCATCCTCGTTATTACTTCAACAGTGGACCACTACCGTAATCAGTTAAACTGCATGTGGTATATACTAGTAGGGGGCAATTGGGAAGAAGCTAGAATTATTATTATTATTATCTTCACTAGTTTGAGGGAAAGATAATTATTATTATTACTTGCATGTACGCATTGAATGAAGCTAGAATGAAATAAGAAAATTGAAGATATCAATTCGGCGGAGCATACATATATGTGATTATCAACATGTCCACCGTCTAAGAAACAGCATGCACTCGCTTTCCAGGCCACCTGATAGGTGAATGATGTCCAAGGCACTTACACTGCATCACTCGGGTTCACACTTGTCATTTTTTTACTTATTCCAAAATCTCCCAACGCATACGAGTGAACAATGCAAAACCGTAGATAATAAAAATGGTAGCTCGACTGGCAGCAACAAGTCCCTTCTTTGCATATAGGCGAGTACTGACCTGCATTTTATGGCATGCCTCTTCCGTTGTCTTCGGTCCTTCAAACTTCTTGACTAATTCTGTGCCCAGATACTGCAAAGAACAATACCACAGCATCCACAACATCCAGCATCCTCAAAATAAAAGCATATCACAAATACACATCAGCCACCCAAAACCTTCAGCGCGCCCTACGCCTACATTTACTGAACCTAAAACGGCTTCAACAACATGTTCTTAAAGGGGAAGTTAAGGCAAAAATTAAAATTTCACCAGTTGTAGTCTTCGGGGTGCTGAGTCGAATGGTCTTGGTCCGAGAAAGCTGAGACGCTCCCTTCCTACTTGAATCCCAATCGAACTCGCGCACTTCCACCGAAACTGGGTGACTGCGCCCTACTAGATGGGGATTTGTATGCAAAATGTCACTAAAAGTGCCATTTCGTTCTTATAAAAGCACGGATGACCGCAATTGGCCCATATGTTGTAGTCTTTTGGACGCTGAGTCGATTGGTTTTGGTCCGAAAAGGCTGCGATGCAGCGTTCCTCCTTTATTCCCAATCGAACATGGTTGAACAAGCGGTCACGTGCTCCTGCGTACACCAGTCACCTGGTCACCGTGCCTGCAGGGTACAACTTACTAGCCTGTTTGACCTTTTTTGGGTGCAGTCCTGTCACTCGAGTTGAACTCGAGTTGAACCTTGGTGTGAAAGTTGTCGCCTGCTGGCGTGGTGACCAGGTGATTTTGGCACCCAGGAGCACGTGACCGCTTGTTCAACCATGTTCGATTGGGAATAAAGGAGGAACGCTGCATCGCAGCCTTTTCGGACCAAAACCAATCGACTCAGCGTCCAAAAGACTACAACATATGGGCCAATCGCGGTCATCCGTGCTTTTATAAGAACGAAATGGCGCTTTTAGTGACATTTTGCATACAAATCCCCATCTAGTAGGGCGCAGTCACCCAGTTTCGGTGGAAGTGCGCGAGTTCGATTGGGATTCAAGTAGTAAGGGAGCGTCTCAGCTTTCTCGGACCAAGACCATTCGACTCAGCACCCCGAAGACTACAACTGGTGAAATTTTAATTTTTGCCTTAACTTCCCCTTTAACAACTGCGAAGCCAAGAAAACTTTGAAAAGTACATGAAATGGCAAACTGGCAGTCTGTCCGCACGTCACCGACACTGACTTACCTGTACGTCATAGTGAAGATTGCCTTTCGCCACCTCGGTAACCTGATGTTTCCAACTATCTCCCATCTTCTTCAGGTGAGTGCTCTCGATACCTGCATCGGTGCATTCCACAGCGGAGTACATCCAAGACAGAAGAGTTGCCTGATGAATGATCTATTTCCACTGTACAGTCAACCTTGCGAATAATGAATAGCCGTCGATAGTGCATGAGATAAGTTTCGTTATTCGTGAGGTTAATAGTATGCAGTAGTATGCATGACCAATGAAAATGCCACGGTTCTCCGCATCCGTAGCAACACCACCACCCTCTAGGATCAAGGCGCAGATGCAGCTCCTAAAGTGGTGGGAGGTGAGGAGATCAGACCCACCAAAGTGGTCAAAGACTGAACATCCCATTCACTGTATCCATGCTTCCCTCGCATGGATGCATGGCCACTTGGTCCGAAAATTGTGTCATTATTCGCGAGTTGTTTTTGACTGTACTGACTCTAGTGTTTACTGTGGTGTTGTTGATGATTGATTTAGATAGTCTTACCCAACCAGGCTCCATACCCAACCAGCCCCCCTTACCCAACCAGGGGTCCTAAGGCCCCGGTCACACCGAAACAAGCCACTTTGGGCTTGTGATCGCTGGCGCTCAGCTGGCTTGCGTGGTCCCTGTGACGCGGTCACACCAGACCTTGAGTGCAAAGCTTGAATGGCTTGTTTTTCTTACCCGCCAAATTTTGAATATCTCGAAACACACCAATGTTTGCAAGAAACCGGAAAGCAGAACGTTCGCGATCTAAAACTGTACTTGTTCTAGTGTACAGTTTTGATGAAGAAGCAAAGGAAGCCCGGATTCTGAATTGCGAAGTCGTGCTCTTTTTATTTGTTCGGTGTGCATGGACGCGATGGTTCGGGTGGTGTTTCCCGATGTCGAGCTTTCTGCCCCGCCGGTTGCCGTTCTTCAACTCAGTTGCAATCCACTCTCTTCTTCGTACCCGGCTTTCTTCATGAATTCGGTCGTGAGTGTGGTGCCTTGTCTTGGCCTCAAACCACAGCTCCAACAATCTACGCAGCAGTCTAGAGGCACAGCGGCAGAAATCCATGGTCGTCGGACAAAATCCAAATCAAACTGAATACAGTGTAGTTGGATAGACAGACTCACGATCAAAACCAAAGGCACAGGGATAGCACGGTTCCACGGACACAAGAAAGAACATCAATATCAGTTCATCATGTCAAATAGCTACATGGTGTGCTCCAAGCGCACTCAAATTATTTTTTGAATTTCGGCTTGTTTCAGCCGCTTGTACAAGCTGTGGCTGAAACAAGCCGAAAAAACGGCTGAGAGTCAGCCACGGCTGAAAGTCGCTTGTAGGACATTTTTCAGCCATTTCCATGGTAATAGTGACGTAAACAAGCGCTTTTTTCGGCTGAACGGCTGAATCGAGCTCGGTGTGACCGCGGCCTTAGTAGACTCCATACCCAACCAGCCCCCCCCCCCCCCCCTTACCCAACCAGGGGTCCTTACCCAACCAGGCCCTTACCCAACCAGCCCCCCCCCCCCCTCCCCCTTACCCAACCAGGTTCCTTACCCATCTTCTGCAGTATCTTGATATTATGCTCCTGTGCATGACGTGGAGATCGAAGGTTCAGAGGGTCCAGGTCACGATCTGTCTGCGGCCGAGAGCTGTCAAAATTCGGATCCTGGTGTAGGAATTGAAACGTTTAAAAAAAAGTACACAGACAACAAGAAGTGCATTGCAGATCGTATTAATCACAGCACGATGCGGTATTATCGTCAACTCCAGGCTAAGATCTAGGATAGCACATCTATTGCAGAACACAGCCGGTGCGCATGGCTTACATATCGGCTCTCCAAAACGGGGCTGCAGATAAGCCTACCACATGCATGCATGCACGAACATTCACCCTCCCCCCCCCCCCCCCCCCCGTGCCACAAACACACTCACGTTTGGATTTGCACCACCCCTGGACTCGTTTGTGTCAACTTTGATATGAGGCACGTCCGCCTTCTCAATCGGCTTCCGTTTCATGCTTGCCTGCACGGTACTGAAGTCACGGCGAACGTTGGTCTCCGGCATTGTCGGGGCTGAGCTCTCCTTCGACAGCTGAATCAGCCGACTCATACTCAACCGCCGCATTCTCAACTGCGGCACATACACACACATACGTACGTACGTACGTGCATGTACACATACATGATACACACGTGCACACACACGCACACATGCATGCATGCACACACACATACACACATACATGTACACACACACACACACATCAACGCGTGCACGCAAGCACAAAGTTAACAATATGGTAGGCTACATATCTACAAGGACTGGTTATAGCAGGTTACCTATCCACATGGACTGGTTATGGCAGGATGCCTATCCACATGGACTGGTTACGGCAGGTTACCTATCCACATGGACTGGTTATGGCAGGCTCCACATGAACTGGTGACAGCAGCCTGCCTATCCACATGGACTGGTTATGGCAGGCTGCCTATCTATATGGGCTGATTATGGCAGGATGCCTATCTATATGGGCTGATTATGGCAGATTACCTTTCCAAATGGACTGGTTATGGCAGGTTTTCTATCCACATGGACTGGTTATGGAGGGCTACCTATCCTGATGGACTGGTTATGGCAGGTTTTCTATCCATATGGACTGGTTAAAGCAGGCTACCTATCCACATGGACTGGTTACGGCGGGCTACCTATTCACATGGACTGGTTATAGCAGGCTACCTATTCACATGGACTGGTTATTGAGTGCTTCCAACCCACATGGACTGGTTATGGCAGGCTCTAAGCCATAACCAAACCACTAGAATATCTCCCAGGCTACTTACAGCTAGCTCAATATCGGACATTTCAGGTAGCTTGACATCTCCATGCAGCATTGGATTTAGCATGTGTAGCTCACGTATAGCCGCTGTCAGCCGTCGACGATGCCCGAGCTTTGCCATGCCCATCTGCAGAACAGAGGACACCAGTAGACTAGCTGCATTAGTCACTGAGAGATTACACTACTGCCGAGTGCCGAAGAGCGACCAGGCTAGCATCATGCACAGCATACCAATGTGTACACGGTGACTCAACTACGCCGCATAGACTGTAATACATGAAAATAGGAACGGTCTAGGCTAGGAGGCTGGAACTGGTTGTCCCCGCTGAATGCACACTGCTCTGATTGAAGACATCCCTGGATAGCGACACACAAGTGTTTACTAGTATTTTGTCTCACTCTACAGACACATTGATGACGTTAACCATGCACTCCAATGGTCATGACCTGCTGGAGCACATGATCAGCATTCGGTTCATGCATAACATTCTTCAGTCGGCAAGCGGCCGTCTGGCAGGCCTGCAGAACAATCAGAACTAACACATTGACTTACGCCGAACAGCTCGTTGTCCCAGAGGGAGCAGACTTTCTTCACAGTCATATAGTCGTTCTGTGCAAACAGTTCCAGGTACTCCTCCAACCCTAGGTCCTGCAGTAGCTCTGGCACGGTGTCTGGCTCGCAGATGGCCGACCGGTCCGGCAGAAGACTGGCCACTGCTACCAATGTGCTGGAAAAGAGTAAACAGAAAGGTGTGGAGTATGCTTGCACTGCGTATAATCATAATGAATAAGGATAATGTAGCACAGGTGAATTACAGGGATACCTTCAGCTACCATAGGGGTTGAAGCAAAAGCTTTCTTTGGCATTCCTGAAACTCTCTGGTGGCCACCTTGCTCAGTTTGCCAGCGCAACCTATTGTGCCGCCATGTCATGTAATGTGAATCTCAGCTGTCACTAGAGGAGCAGAGTGCAGGCAGCTGCACACTCTTCATGAGTTTCGGATTTATGTACTCTTGGTATTTCTCATAACCACTCTGCCAGCAGGGGTGCCAGACGTGTCAGTAGACAGCAGACACATTCTATCTGCTCAAAGTTAAATGGTATACATGTGCACACACACACACACACACACACATACGTACGTACACACACACACACACACACACACACACACACACACACACACACACACACACACACACACACACACACACACACAAACACACACACACGCACACCAACCTGCAGTCGTCCTGGGAGCGAATCCCTGATCTCCTGAGATCTGTTTCGGTCATAATATCTTCACTCTGTTCCAGCACACATACACACAGTAGCCAGAGTAAGCATACAGGCAGGAATAATCTGACTACACTGCACACTCACAGTGAGTTGCTTACTAGTACACGTGCCATCAAGAGTCCACAATCCCCCAGAGTGCGCAACTGGGATGGGGTTGTGGGACGGCGTAATCCGTGATGTACGTCATTTTTTTGGGTCGGACTTGCGTCATTCCGTCGACGCGGCCCACCACGGAAACACTTCCCCTGCTCATGATGTCACACTATGACGTGCAGCACGGATTTCGCCGTCCCAGATCTGATCAGTGAAGTTGCGCAATCTGGGGGTTATGGACTCTTGGTGACACTCTGAGCAACAGCAATAGAGCTTCAGAGCCTTCAGTCTCCCTTCACTGTACCTGCACAGCCTTCAGTCTCCCTTCACTGTACCTGCACAGCCTTCAGTCTCCCTTCACTGTACCTGCACAGCCTTCAGTCTCCCTTCACTGTACCTGCACAGCCTTCAGTCTCCCTTCACTGTACCTGCACAGCCTTCAGTCTCCCTTCACTGTACCTGGACACAGCCTTCAGTCTCCCTTCACTGTACCTGCACAGCCTTCAGTCTCCCTTCACTGTACCTGCACAGCCTTCAGTCTCCCTTCACTGTACCTACACAGCCTTCAGTCTCCCTTCACTGTACCTGGACACAGCCTTCAGTCTCCCTTCACTGTACCTGCACAGCCTTCAGTCTCCCTTCACTGTACCTGCACAGCCTTCAGTCTCCCTTCACTGTACCTGCACAGCCTTCAGTCTCCCTTCACTGTACCTGCACAGCCTTCAGTCTCCCTTCACTGTACCTACACAGCCTTCAGTCTCCCTTCACTGTACCTGCACAGCCTTCAGTCTCCCTTCACTATACCTGCACAGCCTTCAGTCTCCTTTCACTGTACCTGCACAGCCTTCAGTCTCCTTTCACTGTACCTGCACAGCCTTCTGTCTCCCTTCACTGTACCGGCACAGCCTTCAGTCTCCCTTCACTGTACCTGGACACAGCCTTCAGTCTCCCTTCACTGTACCTGCACAGCCTTCAGTCTCCCTTCACTGTACCTGGACACAGCCTTCAGTCTCCCTTCACTGTACCTGCACAGCCTTCAGTCTCCCTTCACTGTACCTGCACAGCCTTCAGTCTCCCTTCACTGTACCTGCACAGCCTTCAGTCTCCCTTCACTGTACCTGCACAGCCTTCAGTCCCCCTTCACTGTACCCTGCACAGCCTTCAGTCTCCCTTCACTGTACCTGCACAGCCTTCAGTCTCCCTTCACTGTACCTGCACAGCCTTCAGTCTCCCTTCACTGTACCTGGACACAGCCTTCAGTCTCCCTTCACTGTACCTGCACAGCCTTCAGTCTCCCTTCACTGTACCTGCACAGCCTTCAGTCTCCCTTCACTGTACCTGCACACACTGCACAGTAAAACCTGCCCTGACCGGCGGACGCCCTTGGTGCAGCGGCAACTGTCCTGGCATCACAGGATTCCGCTTGATCCAGGTACCGTAGTAACGCACGTATAGGCGCATGCGCCTGTATTCGGATATACGCGCACTCTCACTTATAAGCGCATGCTCTTATAGGCGAAGCACTACCAAAATTATCGCTTTGACACAATCACGGATAAAAGTCTGCAAACAGCATACAGGAACCATGAAACTGACACTACAAGACCTAGTCAAACACAAAGACTCTGGCAAACGAACTCTGATCGCGCATGCACGTTTAGGTGAAATATTTCATTTTTGAAAATTGGATTCGTAGCATACTTCACTTATAAGCGCATGTGCTTATATGGGCGTTATTACGGTATGCCCCTTCAATCCACAGCACTTTGGTGCATGAAAATTAGTCCGGTCAATACAGGATTCCGCGTGGTACAGGCCATCAGGCGAACACGCAGTTGCTTCTGAACAATATACAAGACTCCTCCAGTATCCCGGCATAGCCTATGATTGCGATGATCCCTGTATGTATCTCAGTACCTACCAGGAACTTGAGATCATCAAAGCCACTCTTTATGAGCAGATCCTTGTAGCACTCCATCTGATACTGGGTCAGCCATGCGGTGTATGGGTCGGCGGCTTCAGCATCCCCTGGAAATGAACATGCAGCACATATGTACACATGATGTCAATTCAACATGGTGTCACTGCTACCACCACTATGATCCCAGATCAGGCAAATCAGGCAAATCAGGTTCCTATTGAACCCAGACAATATTACACTCGTGAAGCAGGATACTAAGACAGATAATTTATAATAAGCTGCAGTACGTGCCTTCCCGGTGACGAGCCCAGAAGAGAGAGAGAGAGAGAGAGAGAGAGAGAGAGAGAGAGAGAGAGAGAGAGAGAGAGAGAGAGAGAGAGAGAGAGAGAGAGAGAGAGAGAGAGAGAGAGAGAGAGAGAGAAGAGAGAGAGGGATAGCGATAGAGATAGATAGATCCTGAGATAGATGGAGAGAGAGAGAGAGAGCAGTGAAAGTGAAAGAAAGAGAGTGAGAGAGAGGGCCATGAACGCACACATGCACACACATACAAAGGCAACTGTCTGCCTGAAGTGCATACTATAATATTGGCATATGCATGGTACATTCAACATGCAACAAGAAACATGAAGAACCTTATCCGCTTACCTGTAGCCACATACTCCGGCACACCAGAAACTAAGTCCTGGAGAAGATTGTCAATCTGTCACAGCACACAAAGTCACAAAATACACACATACATGGGAACACATGAATATGCACCCACTCATGCAGTGTCATATGAAGTCCAGACGAAATCTCTCAAATGAGCAAGGCCAGTTCAACAGGTGTTCACATTCAGTGGAGATCACTAGCAATGAAGCTGTACACGTTTTAAACCGGCCATACCTCTCCCCATTCCTCACTAAGTTGAACCTCAGTTTGGGACCGTTCCCGTCCACCGTTCGGCGGATCCATTACCACCAACCGTTGACGCTAAGGTCTAACGGCCCAGCTGTTCCAACCACCTGCACAAGAATTGCAGAAATCAAACAGCTACATTAGGCACGTGTCCGAAAAAATAGTTTGAAGTAAAAATTTGTTGCACAGCAGAAATACAAGTTTAACACCATTTGGCACCACTCTCCAAACTTCCAAAGTTGCAAACACATGCCTGGATGCATACGGACGCACACGCACACACACACACCTTTGACCTTTGACGCCCATCGCCGGAGGCGATGATAGCAATGCTACGGCAGAAGCCATAGCAACTTGTGCTGGGATTACACCATTCAACAGCTTGCAAGGCTGAAGAATTGACCGTCACTATTCAGCCTGGTCTACACCATACAGCTATTTGGAGTGACATTTTCTGGCCAGTGAATCCCTATCTTTGGTCTTCTTTTTTTCTTTTTCTTTTTTTCCCGCACACACATCACACCACATACTCCGGCATGCACTGGCTGTTGGTAACCACCCAGGAGAATGAAAGAAAAGTCAGGAAGAGTCACACACACACACACACACACACACACACACACACACATTGTCTACGGCTCTTTCTCTCCTTCTCTGTCTGGGCCAAGCTTGCACTTCATCAACCACTAGTTTAACCTTCACCCTGCCGCGTGACTGCACATACAGTAAAACCTGTGTTTGCCGGACCCTGGATCAAGCGCATCCCTGGACCAAGCGCATCCCTGGATCAAGCGCATCCCTGGATCAAGCGCATCCCTGGATCAAGCGCATCCCTGGATCAAGCGCATCCCTGGATCAAGCGCATCCCTGGATCAAGCGCATCCCTGGATCAAGCGCATCCCTGGACCAAGCGCATCCCTGGACCAAGCGCATCCCTGGACCAAGCGCATCCCTGGACCAAGCGCATCCCTGGACCAAGCGCATCCCTGGACCAAGCGCATCCCTGGACCAAGCGCATCCCTGGATCAAGCGCATCCCTGGATCAAGCGCATCCCTGGATCAAGCGCATCCCTGGATCAAGCGCATCCCTGGATCAAGCGCATCCCTGGATCAAGCGCATCCCTGGATCAAGCGCATCCCTGGATCAAGCGCATCCCTGGATCAAGCGCATCCCTGGATCAAGCGCATCCCTGGATCAAGCGCATCCCTGGATCAAGCGCATCCCTGGATCAAGCGCATCCCTGGATCAAGCGCATCCCTGGATCAAGCGCATCCCTGGATCAAGCGCATCCCTGGATCAAGCGCATCCCTGGATCAAGCGCATCCCTGGATCAAGCGCATCCCTGGATCAAGCGCATCCCTGGATCAAGCGCATCCCTGGATCAAGCGCAATCCCTGGATCCAGCGCATCCCTGGATCCAGCGCATCCCTGGATCCAGCGCAATCCTGTCATGTCAGGATAGTTTCCGCTGCACCAAGGCCGTCCAGTTCGGGCAGGTTTTACTGTATACCCTTAAAGCCTAGTTCACATTCGACGGGGCAAGACGTCTGACGGCGTCCAATGTGAACACCAGGAACGGGAACGCAACCGTACTACCGTACAGATCGGGAAGCGACGGGCAGAGTTGGATCGATCCAACTCTTCATACCGTAGACGGGCGTAGACGGGGACGCAAGCGTACAAAACGGCTGCAATTCGAGTGTGAACAGGAGACGGCGTCGTGCGCCGACTACTCCCGATTCGTACTTGGAAATTTTTAGCATTTCGAACACTGCACTTCCCATGATAACTCACAGAATGGCTAGCACGACTTGAGTTGAATTTTAGCAACATAAGATCTCATGTCACTTATTGTATTTAGGGATAGTTCAGAAGCGTGACAGACGAACTATTCTATCATTTCCCGGGGCTAGTATTTGAATGCCACAACTTTCAGGGCTAATTTTTTGGTCTTCATGAAAAACTGATGTCGTGAACTTGATTCCGCTTCTTTCAAGGAGAAATAATTGAAAGAAGTCCCGAAAAACGAGAAATTAGGTCCGAAAGTCACCCCGTCACGGACCGTGCCTTATGACTCGGGCCGTTCGATGTTGAACGTCGCAACGACTGCTGCATGTCGTGTCGTACGAATCGTACAGGATTTTACAGCTCACCCCAGCGCTCCCGACAAGCCCTTACATCCCGTACCGTCGGCGTTGCGTCGAATGTGAACTACAGTCCATTTCAAAACTATAGACGCATACCTAGGCAAAAAACGTTATGCCAGCATCTATACCACATAAAATCTGTGATCGCTTTGTGCATAATTTTTTCCAAATTGGGCGTCTGTTATCCAATCGTTTAGAAACTATATGAGAGTAATTGTGGAGCGGTCCTGAGCAATTTTCCGAAAACTATTCTCAAAAAGTTCCAGCCAAATTTGAAATATTTCAAAAACCCTACGCGTCTATAGTTTTGAAATGGACTGTAGGCTTAAAAAAGCCACAAAGGCAGAACAACAGAGACCAAAAAACATTTTCACGTGTCCATACAGAATTGCGGCCTTCCGTTGAAATAATTCAGTAATCACTCTATGAACTTACGAACTTATTGAAAAAGGAAACGTGGGCTGGTGCTATCTTGATAAAATCCACAGTAAAATGATGTGAAGTTGGTCTTATTTCTCTGAGTTACGCCACATGCACAAGATTGGTGTCAGATACACACCAGCTCAAGCCGGGATCCACACTAGTTCAAGCCGGGGGGGGGGGGGGGGGGGGCAGCTAGCCGTATATGCCACAGTATGTTCATATTCGGGGTACTTTATACTGACGTCTTACTATAGACTGTTGTACTAGTAGTACTAGTACGGCATGTGGAGGTGTCCGATTTCAGATGGAGTTGACCACACCCATCCCGTGTTTTCTAAATATAATTTTTTAAATGTTGACAATGATTGTCACCGAAAGGCGAAATGCCCTGGGTACATACTATGTACATATCCCGTAGATAGCCCCAGTGACATGGAGTACTAGTAGTAGTACATTGTATCAACAAAATAATTGATTGAATTAAATTATTTCATCACAATAATTTTGATAAACACTCGACAGCTTGAACTAGCGCTATAGCACGGATCTGACAACAATCAGTACCTTGTGCATATAACAATTATTTGTTGAAATAAGGTCCTAGCCTTGGGCTGCGAAGAATCAAGGTGCCACGTACTAGAGGCTAGCAAGCAACGCAGCAGACGGATGAGTAAAAAAAGGCGAGAATGCTGCAAAAGCACCACCACGATCGACACATGCATACTGCCACCGCAGCGCAGGGCCTAGGGATCGATCTTCATTCCTGGCTGGCAGTGGCACCATCACAAAACAAGTCACTGCCACTGCCACTGCCACTGGGCCACGGGTCGCTCGCTGCACTTCCATCCTTCCTAGTCCTAGTCAGGCCAGAGCTAGTCCGAACGCACTGCCTGTGTGGCTCATCACGTCCACCATGGTCCACCTAGTACCTAAACGTTCTGCGTGTTTCACGTGCCGTCACACGTCGTGTACTAGTACCAAAAAATAAGCCATGCTCCCGAGGAAAAACAAACGACGGTAGGAACTAGTGGAAGCTAACTACAAGGTAGTACCTAGCCCTAGGCACCCACGAAATAGTCAATCAAGGCATACTGAACACATTTAGTACTACCCGGTTTTAGTTACCATACAAACTTCACAACACTTGGCTCACCGCTAACGATCCCAAGACACCCGTGTCCGGCACGATGACTCGAGAAAGAATTGCTCGACTCCCCCGCAAGCGAAAGCGTCGCACAAGAATTTCCTCTCAGCAGGTGCCGCGTAGCGAGTGGCACACACACAACCAATTCGCTGTTCGGCTTTCCTCTTCCAAAGTTTCAGCAAATCTCAACACGCCAGAAAAATAAGCACAACTTGGGCACACGGCCAAGTAAAATAAGTTTGTTTGGACTTGCAGTGGTGCGCAGAGCTAGTTTATACAGTCATGGAACGTGTCTCGACACTCGGTACTCACGCCAGTCACGGTGTTACTGCACTACTACTCTCTACACAGACTGCTACAAGTACAACAGTACAAGGAGTGACACTCGATCACACTTCCATTTCACTGCCAGTGCCACTCAGCAGCAAATCAACACACGTAGATCCTGTACACCGCATGCTATGCTACGTAGTTATGTGCCAGATGTGCAACACGCGCGATGTTACTGTACTTCACACCTAAAGTTTAACGGTTTGTAATCTTGACACAAGTGCTTCCATTTCTATTCATTTTTTTTCAAAGAATCGACATCAAATCGATAAACCCTACACCATTGTACACTCTACAGAACAATCGCAGCATTCAGTCATTGTGATCGATCGTGTGGGATGCAGTGGAACTGGCAATGAAATACATAATCCTACACAGTTGCGAGGGCATGACGCTCTGATCAGGCCCGAGGTCTGTGAGTGAAGACTGATCAGACAACGGCACAGCAATATTATTATTAATTTTTACATGCAGCATGAGCATCAGCTTCTGTGCTACTTCTTACTCTTACAGTCTTAGACTTAGGGCGCGTTCGAATTGTCTTTATCAACTGTTCTAACAAATTTTATAAAGAGATAATAGTTTAAGTGTCGGTTTCTATCATTTTTACTTTTTCAGTGGAATTGCCATGGCGCTGATGACGTCCGATCAGATCGACCATCTCCACGTACTACGTGACGTAGCTATTCCAAACTCTTCGAAACTAATCCACCTTCCCATCGGATGAGTTTCGAGGAGTTTCGAGGAGCTTCGTTTTTCTGAAGAGGTCAATAAGGCCACCTCTTCAGGAAAACGAAGCTCCTCGAAAAGTCAAAGAGTGACAATTCGAACGCGCCCTTACCTTACTCCTTAGTTCTACATGTCATGACTGAGTGAGTCTGTACTATGCCCTATTACTACATGTAGATCTCCCAGCCTACTTAGCCTGCACTTCGTCTTCACTAAACTATTACAGTATTAGACTAACTAATTACTTCAGTCCGCGGACTGCGGCTCGGTCTGACTGTCAGTGTCACTACTTTGACACCAGTACCCGTACCGTGTCAATGACCTGTCTAGTCCTGTGAAATCAAAACGCAAAGAATCAAATCGGACGGTGTGGCAGTTACAGTACTTACACAGGGCTTGCTGATTATTGTTGTGCCAGGCTACTCAGTACTACTAGAGTCATGCTCACACGTCTGGAGTACTGCCCGTGCTGGGTGCTGTAGATCTGTACTCGAGTTTGTGACAATGATTATGTAGCGGTCGGGATTTTTCTACTGACTTCATCACTGTCATGAGCCAGTGACTGTCTGTCTGCAATACTAGTAGTAGGGAGGGAGGTGCCTACGGTGGGTTTTCGAGACTCCATCGTCCATGTGACTGTCTGTACCGACTATAACTATCGTGGACAGCTGCACATGCAGAGGTGGAGGTGGCGCCTTGCTACCATGTCCATGTCCATGTCCATGATAAATTATAATACATGTGCACGGTCTTTCTGCGGTGTTTGTATGGACAGGAGGGGGGGGGGGGGGTATCGATGGGCAGTGGCTGATGGTCTGCGGATGGTGTGATGGTCTGCGGTCGACCAATACTCACAGATGAACATTTCCACTACCACTACCACCCATCCAGGATCTACATGTACAGCCGGGAGAACTAACGTGACGCATGAGCGATGACAATATTCAGTCTGTGAGTGTGAGTACACAAAGTGCAAGTGAAACAAACTGTTGCTATGGTCACTGGCAAGACTACACGGAACGGTGTATTCAGAAGAAACAAACACCTCTCTCGGACTCAGCAGATTATCAGGGAATGAAAAAAGGGAAAAGCAACACCGGCACCAGACCTGTCCAGATTTCGTGAAAATTGGTGTCTATTTACATGTACATGTGTTGACGTTTTGGTCCGAGCCCCAACTTGTACGGGAAGAAGTGCATGCCCATTTCATTCAGAAGAGGTTGTCCAGGAAATATTACAGCGTGGGAAGCGATCCGAAGGTTGCCAGGAGTGATTTGTCGTTGTTGAAAACACAAGTCTGATTATTTACTGAATGGACAGTCCAATCATGTACAACATGTATTGTAGTCTCATTCTGTCTAAAGTCCAGATACGAGCAGGCATGCAGGCTAGGCATGGGACATGATCATGTGTAATACTTGTGGGTGGCCGTGGCAGCTCCCACAGCCAAGGCTCTCACACAGTGACAAGTGTGCTGTATAGCTGCTTATCACTCCCTTAGTATTGACTGAGTTTTTGACTCCCATAGATTTTTGCCATACATGTACCTAAGCAGTCAAATATTCCTGCATACTATGATTTCACTCCTTAGAGCTATATTGACCGCTTATATTTGACTCCTTTTTAGCGATTGAACACAGGCTTTGGCTAGTCGTGATAAATCTAATATTGACTTCGTACTTGGTCAGTATAGGAAATAAAAGACCTCGTAAAAGACCTCGGCTTCGCCTCGGTCTTTTACTCGGCTTTTATTTCCTATTATTGACCTCGTACTCAGTCAATATTAGATACATATTATGTACTGCTAGTATGTACATGAATGATTGTACTGACGCACCACCGTTGAAAAATGGATCAAGGCTAATTTGCTCCAACTCCTGAGTTCTTGCACATGGAAAGCAAAACCGAGTCGAACAGGGTCGAAAACAATGCAGCCGTAACTCCGATTACGCAGAACACACTACACACAATGAGCCGGTTGAGCGGTCTGTTCCTCTTCAAGCTCCAACACGCTCTATTGGATCATCCCACCACACACCTTGAGCTTTCCTGGCCACAGATCTCCAGCAAAGCAAACTACACGCACGGCTGGGGAAACCGAGGGGATCTGATCACATGTCTCTCTCTCTCTCTCTCTCTCTCTCTCTCTCTCTCTCTCTCTCTCTCTCTCTCTCTCTCTCTCTCTCTCTCTCTCTCTCTCTCTCTCTCTCTCTCTCTCTCTCTCTCTCTCTCTCTCTCTTCTATTGGCGCGCCTGGTTGTGATGAAGCCGAGACCCAAGGTCGGCAGAGCATCCCAGACCACGCCACCACTCCCCTTATTCATGGCTCACACATGACGGGTTTACGTGGCTCTAGTAAAAAAAAAAAATGTCAACGTTCCTAGTGAAGTTATCATAAAATAGAAAGCACATCCAGACAGCAGTATTCAACGCATGTCTTGAGTATATCTGCCAACACGTTCTAGAGATCGCAGGATTTTTTTGCATGAGACATTTTAGTACAAAAACAATAAAATAGAAAGATCCGATTGGTCATTGTTACTAATAATTCTCATCTCTATTGAATAGTACCGTTGCCCAGCAAGGTGTAAATGAGCTGAGCTACACGAATTTCCACAGCCGCATCAAAATCAATGAGTTTCTCTGTTATGTCAAGATCGTGCAAAGTTTTCACGCACACACTAGCAAGAATCAACCGTGAGCAGCCAATCTCCTAACAAATCGCCTCAATGCCAGCGTTCAGCGCATCTGAGCAGTCTCGGATGCTGCACAGGAGTGTGCATTTCACCTGCACACGCAGTTTAGAACATTCAAGTACTGGGCATTGGTAATCTCTTCTTGCCGCACTCACAGCAGAACTTGGCGTTCGGCACCGGGAAACGAGTGCCGCAGTCATAGCAGAACCTGCTCATGGTGCCGGGGCCCTGCTGCATCTGCGCATGACTGCCACTGCAGAAGTAGCAAAGACATGACAAAACGGTGTCAGTCACGGCCCATTCCGGAACTTACAATGTAGTCAGACTCAGAATGGTAACGGTAATTCCAGACATAATACATGGCCAATCCGACGTTCACATACGCCGCATACTAACTTCTGTTAGCAGCTCAAAAGAATCTCTTGGACTCTGGTACAAGAATTCTATAAACACCAAGGCATCTCGGGGGCAGCAGGGACCATAACTATCCAACCTTCTTTTTGTTAATGAAGCCAAGCGAGTTTGTATTACACAGCCGGGAAGACCACCGAAGGCAGTGGTGAATTTTACAGAAAGTTCACAAAATTAATGTGATAGTCAACAGTCAACAGTAAGAAAACTAAACAGGGGAGAAGGTACGCAATGGACTTCAGAAGCACAGTAATAAGCTCGTATGGCAGGATTGGATCCAGAGATCTCTACAAAGGGTTCCGGTTTAGCCAAAAGTTGAATACTGGTGATATATGTACATGTCCATGCATACGATTTCCAGTAGTAAATTTGCGAAATTTAGGGGGTTCCGTGGACCCCCCCCCCCCCCCTGGATCCACCCCTGCACGGTTGTGCAGTGTTAACTCACTGTGACAGCTTGCGGCCCGTTCCAATCGGCGGTAGTGACACGTCGGACATGTCGGATACGCCCGACGTGGACGCCGACGAGCTTCTGCCCAGCGGAGCCTGCTCGGTGGCGTCGATGTACAGCTCAGACGTGTAGTGCTGCTGCTGGTGCTGGTTAAACTCAGCCGCCTCCTGTAGTTTTCGCCGTGCACTGCCTCGTCCAGAGTGCATTAGACCATTGCCACCGCCGCCGGGACTCTGTTCATATTGATCGGCAGGGGAGAGGTCAAGGGCCGGAGTGGGAGCACCTGAATGGGTGTAGGGTATGCAACAAGAGATGATGATCACAAGTTTGAATACAAGTAGAAAGTTCAAGCACGATGTCAGGGCTACTGAAATCATAAAAAATCTGTCATTTGTCTAGGGGTGAAAGTTGGCATTGAGATCCCGAGTTCGAGTACTCTGATTTTCTCCGATCGAATATTCGAGTGTTCGAGTATTCTTCATCTCCTATCAATTGCACACCGAGGGCCTTAAAATCACGTGATACAAACCCTGCTTGAACCGAGTGGCTGCCATTTTTTTCTCTGGTATATTGGTTGCTGGGTCATTTGGGCTCTCTCTACTCGTGAACAAATGTTCACCACTCAGTCTGCACATCAATATCTGCCGACTGCTGCTCTGAAACTGCAGATTTCTGTGGTAAATGCATGTTCCACGTATGAACGAGTACTCTGATTTATTCCGAGTACGATTATTTCAGAAAAAACCGAGCGAGTACTCGAGTATTCGGTATAATTGTTTCACCCCTACATTTGTCACATGATTTCAATACAATCATGTACATGGCTTGCTACAGTGAGAACATCTTGCAAATGCTGGTCATACAGTGCTTTGCGGCACCGCGGCGAGCATTTTCAACAGTCATGGGCGAAGCATACTGCTGTGCATCACCGTATGTGTACTTTACCCACAGCAACGCACTAAATGTTCCGATCTTATAGAGAGATGGCCGTACTTTGCCAGCCTCAAAGTTCCTGGGCCATGACTCTTGGCTAGGGACCCAGACCCAAATCTTGGGCATTAAAACCACACCACTCAAACATCTCTATGATATGGCTACAGTCATGGTTTGGACTTTGAAGACCATCATAGCAGTGACAGCTCTTAAGTTAAAAAAAAAAAAAGCAGATGCAATCGCTTACTAGTGCATGGATGCATTACAGAGCTGAGATATCCACATAGAGCATGGATACTAACGAGTGGGAACGTTTGTTTCCCCAAACGTTCCCACTATGAAAGTTGTGTGCACTGGCAGTGCTCCCTGGATGCAACTGAACATGCTTCGATCTATGCATACGCACACCGAAGACAGACAGCATCACAGCCGAGCGTTCTCACCAGAGCCGTTTTGCCGCAGCGTGTACGTCGAGTTCATGCCGTTGCGACTGCCGTTCCTGGCCACACTCCCGGGCACTTGGCGCCGGTGTTGTGGTGCCGGTCCCTTCGGTGGTGGTGGTGTGTCATCCGGTGCCCACTGTAATGAAGAAATTGCAGAAAAAATGCACAGCAATTAGTTTGAGCTGAAATTTTGTGGAACACTTGGGAAAATTATTCATAGTCTTATTTAGCCCTTAAAAGAGGCTGAAGTTGAAGCCACCACTGCAGTTGTACTTAGTAAAACTAAAAGAGGCTGTTGAGGTAACGAGTAGATGTGTCACCATGGAGATGGTATGAACACTGCACACAGCGGGACTGCCGGTAGTACTAGCACACTAATGGGCAGAGAAAGCCAACCTCATGAATAAAATAGTGCCGGGCGTTACACAGCCTTAGCACCACAAACAGTGTTCTGTGCTCTCGAACGCTGCGCTACTTTTTTCATCAGGACGAATTTCTCTTGCCAGAACTGTAGTTGTGTGTAACCATAGCAACTATAAACCAGTGAATGCATTGTAGATAGACGTCAATGGCTAGAATCATAGCGTATAGGTCATTGACTCAAACTTAGTCTCAGAGACTATCATATGCTGTATAGAAACCGTGACTGCTCCATCTATAGAGCGCTGTAGAAAGGCTTAGTCTGGGAGCAAGATAATCCAGCCCTTCATGGTCGGTGACACTGACAGGTCTCCTATTGCAATGGTTACGAAGGCAGGTTCCAATGTACATGTAGACTATCATGTTATGCATGCCGTGTACAGCAGTATAATCTCTAGATAATGTACGACAAAGGCACGAGAGAACAGTGACAACCGGCTAAATGTTTGCTGCAGCGCTGCGTTTCATGCACATAGCAAGGCTCCAAGGCCATCCTCAGACAACTGATGATCTGTGCATCATCTGGCTACAAACTGTAGACAATTACTACTAAATTGCAGTGAAACCTGTCTAAGACGACCACTCCAAGGACCTTCAAACCGTGGTCTCTGTTACCAGGTGGTCTCCTTATCCAGGGTCATTTGACTGGAAATAGCATTCCTTGGTGCTGGTTTCAGTGGTCTTCTAGGACAGGTGGTCGCCTTATCCGAGTGGTCGCCTTGACAGGTTTTACTATACTATCAAATTACCTGCTCTTGATCTCGGTTTGTTTGACGCTGGCCAGGCAAACTAGCTTGACGTGTTCCCGGCACCCCGACTCGCCTCTGTCCAGCCGCGGGCTGACGGCGACCCGGCTGCTCCTGCTCGCCGTGACCGTACGTTCCCGTAGTGGGCGGTCGGCCGCCCGCAGGCGGTGCGGTGGCGCCGTTCGTTCGAGCTGCAGCCACTGCTCGAGCGCCCGGCGGCCCGGCTGGCGGACGCTGCCGTGTCATTCCGCCTGCTGCTCGCCTCTCTGCATCGCGCTGCTGCTGCTGCTGCTGTCGCTGTGATGCAATGTCCGTCTGGGGGGGGGGGGGGGGATGCACGCATGACGGAAATGATTATAATGCTGTTATAACAGCTACACCACTACCCCTGTTGCTGGCTCGGCCAGTGCCAACAACACAATGATGATGACGACAACAAGAACAAGAACAAGAACACTGCCACCACCACCAGCAACAACAACAACAACAGCAATAACAACAACGACAACAACAACAACAACAACAACAACAACAACAACAACAACAACAACAACAACAGCAACAGCAGCAGCAGCAGCAGCAGTCACAAGTTGCATAAGCAGCAGCAGCAACGGCGGCAGCAGCAGCAACAGCAAGAAGACGCCTACCTGGCTTGGTGCTCGGTGGGATCCAGGTCCAGCTTGCTGTCCAGGTCCATCCATTGAGGTACGCTTCTTAGCTCCGGGCAAGGGAACTCGATACTGCCAAAGAGCAAGTAGACCACAGTGGCAGGAACAACAGCATATTGTTGACGTAAGGGCCATACACGTGGTGTCAATTTACATCACGTAGTCGTAGCATCCAGGGAGATGACATGGGCAAATGGAACGGGAAATCATGTGGGTTTAGCTCCCAGGCAGCCCGTTCCAGTTGTCCTTGGGGCCAGCGGGACAAGGACTTGATTCTGTACAAGCCTTTCCGTCGTGGAATTTGCTATAAAGAAGAAGTTATTTGAAGTTGGTTTTGTTGAGTTAGAGGCCAAAGTTTACATGTGAGATGTTGCAGTTCCTCATTCCAAGATACGCGACAATGGACAATGATTATCGAGCCTTTTAAAAGTTAGCCTGAATCAGGATTTCAAAGATCTGCGGCTCACTATTAAAAGTATTATTATTTTAGAATTGACTTCATGTAGTAAATAAAGGCCAGATATATAAAGTAAGTCATGCAATAATATTGATCACACAAATCCAGGCACTACGCCCATAACGTACTGTGTTACGCTTGTCCAGTTTTTCCTTGGCTGCCGCCGGTACAGTCTTGCCGCTCTTGTTGAGTCGCGACGCCTTATCCCGGCAGAATGGGATATGCCTCTCCGCCGCCTCCGGCTTGAACCGGCGAGTGCAGAAGTCGCACTTCACATAGTCGGGATTCTCGGCGGGCGGTGGCGGCGGTGGCAGAGGAGCGCCCGTCTTCATGGCCTTGGTGACCTCACGAGCACCGCGAATGGCTGCAATGAAATTCTCGTGCTGCGTTCGCCAGTTGTTCTTCTTGCCCTGAAAGTGAAAGAGCACGGAATCAGGCTACTCAGAATACTAGAATTGTGTTCCTTGTTTCTGGTCACTTCACGCGCCATATTTTCTGGAGTATAAGCGCACTTTAAAAAAAAAGAAAAAAAAGTAAATTATCGATCGTGTCCGTTCCCGAAGGGAACTCACGACGGCCGCTAACACCGGGTAAACCCTAGCCGCACTTTAAACACAAGTAATTCACCCAAAAAAGTCTTAGTGCGGCTTTTACTAAGATTGACAAATTGATGGTGGAGGATAGGGTAGGTGTCTGTCTTTCATGGCAAAAAAATCTGGGTACGGCTTATACTCCGGAAAATACGGCAGGTTTAGGGCTCATTGGTGGGATTGCTTTGTCTATAGTGCGACTGGCCATATCCAGGCATTTTCGTCAAAGTTCACACTTCACTGACCTGGATCTTGTTACGCATATGACCTGGATTATCAGCGCCCCACTGGTTGCAGATATCGGCACCGCAGGCAAAAAAGCTTCATGAGGTGTTATTGTTAACACCAATGCATATGTTGAGTTTCTCGATGATCTTGATAGTTCTTGTACTAAGATTGAAGTTGACTTGGTGTTTGATTACTGTACTGCTTGATGTCTGAATTCCAATTTTTTTTCTATTTTTTCTTTCTTTTCCTTTCCTTTCCACTTATCCCGTTATCGGCCCTCTTAAGAGTTGTGTGTATCACTGTTGAGGCATCCGATGGTAAATAAAATAAATACTACTACTAATGCATTGCCATCGAGTGATGAGGCGATAGAGCCATGATTCCACCCTCTCGGGCACTTGCATGGTGAATAGTATTTCTGCAGCCGTGTGGAAAATATACAGTCGACTGGGTGACCGGAACAAACAACTTTTTCTGGGTGGCTTTAGTACTGTAAATTCAATATACTTGTAAGAAGCACTTAGATGGCCAGCATGCCTTTCACAGCAGTCCCAGTGGACTGAATATGGGACGACCAAGACATAACTGACATGTACATGTACTAGTATATACTGCTAACAGTTATTGACACTACATTGTGCCTTATTTGTTATTGACACCACATTGTTCCTTATTTGTTATTGACACTACATTGTGCCTTATTTGTTATTGACACTACATTGTGCCTTATTTGTTATTGACACTACATTGTGCCTTATTTGTTATTGACACTACATTGTGCCTTATTTGTTATTGACACTACATTGTGCCTTATTCGCTACCAAAACGCGGCTGCCTGCCACGATTGAAAAGTGGTCTGGCCAAAGTCAGACCAGCCGGATCAGCAGCGACAACCCCGGGACTGCCACCTCAAAGTCACATGATCTGGCTGACAGAGTGAGCCTCTTTCAGTGTTTCAACTTTTAGATGAGAAAACTATGTTTGATGTGGAACTCATCCTGTCGGTCCGCTGTTCCAATACAGCCTACTCTACACTAGTTCTTAGAAACATTGCTTCCTTCATTCTATTATGCATCTCTCACCCATCTGCCCTATAGCCCTAGTGTACTACATGTGCAGTGCTGGACAATCAAATCCAACCCCTCGCGTACGTCTTCACTTCGATTATTCCGCTTAACCTGCGCGTAGCTATACTCTGCACTCCCCTTGGATGATGTGGCCAAAGCAACTAATTTTCTGCTAGGAGTTGGATTTCATTGGGTCATCATAACCATTCACTAGATCTACAGTACCCAGTGTGTTTAGCAACCAGCTAATGGTGCACAGAAAACTGCTCCTTGCACTAGCCAATAGGGACTCATTTATCACGTCAGATTCTATCACAGGTTCAAATGTACAGTGCAACCTGTCCGCGGCTAAGGCGACCGCTCAGGGGACCTTCAGAAAGTGGTCGCTGTGTACAGGTGGTCTCCTTATCCAGGGTCATGTGACTGAAAACTACACCCCTTGGTCCTGGTTGTAGTGGTCCTCTGGACAGGTGGTCGCATTATCAGAGTGGTCGCCTTGACAGGTTCCACTGTAGGTGGAAACAGGGCTAGGTTCACCGAGATGTAAAATAGAGAAAAGAAAATCCCCGTCTCTGTTCCTGAGAGTCCTCATGGCGGCCGCTAGCCCAGTAGCAGGTGGGACCCTAACAGTGGTGCCCAAGATGACCGGTCTCTTAAGACAGGTACAGGTAGGTGATCTGGTATTAGTGTTTGCTCGATTGGAAGGATTTACTGCACAATACGAGTGCCAGACTTCAGTTGAATTACAGCACACCGTGCCACACAATCATTTGAGTTACAGATCCTGGCTACGGATGTGCTAATACCTCAATAGCTCTATCCTCATGTCCTCCTCCCGGTCGTCTGCTCTTTCCACCCTGCACATGTGGAGTCGCAGCCGGGCCGCAAAACGGTACAGACAGCAGCATACATGGGGTCACGGTTACGACACTCTGCGGAAGGGGGGATTCCCCGCAGGTCTTCCCAACTTCGGGGGGGGGGGGGGGCACACTTGTTATGCATGTAGCCACTGCATTGGAAGCTGTACAACTGCCTTCACAGGGAAGACGTCATTGAAGGATATGAGTAATGAGCATCTCCCCACCCTGCCAAATACGGAGCACAGACCAACACAGCATATGTTAACTGAAAGAAGCGGCCACAACTTACCTTCGCTGAAGGCTCTTCGACAGTGGTCTTCTTTCTGAACTGTGCCTCCACCATAGCCTTCTCCATGTCAGTACCCTGGATCCTGGCCTTGCGTGAGTCGAAGACTTTGCGCTTCTTTGCTGCCGACTTCTGACATATTCCCTGATGCCGTGCCTGCAGAAAGGACCCCGAGAAAAGGAGCAAGCACCATTTGGAGAGATCGAGACACTGACCTATTCGTGATGAGCATGCTGCCAGTCAGTCTGTAGTTAGCTCTCGTCCATGAAGTTTAGAGCATGTGTCAGGTGACCACCGGTGCTAGCATTGTGCATATTTCGACATGCTCCATCCACACCAACTTGACTGTTAACCCCATGCTGCAAGCGCTTAGCTCAGCCAACGCGAAAGGAACTGCACCGAAATGTAACATACGAGTACACCTGATGATTCAGGGTTTTGTTCAGATGACTTCAATACACCAGTAGTACGTATCCAGCTCGGTGAGTCTTGCTGCTTCTGTGGGTTATTCTCTGCACAACAGGACTATGCTGGTAACACATCGGCTACAGCATCCAGGGTGCTCTGTGCCATTGTGACAACGTTCCGAAAAGACACGACCAACCATGGCTCTGTAATCGCTTCCAAATTTCGCATTCCACTGGTTAAAACAGTGTTTCAGCTCCTAGCAGCCATGGTGCATGAAGCTGTGCTTGCTAAGACAGCGAGCTAACTGAATCACAAAGGTACATAGTACTTAATCACACAGTTTTCTGATAATCGCTTAGTGCGTGAAACTCAGAGCTCAAACACTTTTTCCGTCCCCTTATTGTTTGAACTAGCTCTGCCTCTTGGTATTGAGCACTCTCTTGGAAAGCCTGGAACCTCTCTGTTTTACTTGATGAATTACATCCACAGCCATATCCTCTAATGAATCCTTACCAAAACTTCGGGATAAAACGTCCGTCCGCATATCCCACATGGGTACTGGGGGACACTGGTTGCAGCTTGGCTTTCGGGACGCTCATCTGAACACACACACACACACACACACACACACACACACACACACACACACACACACACATGTACATACACATGTGCACACACATAGGACAAGCCATATGCGCAAAGCACACTCAATTTATGAGCATGGGTTTTTGCAGGCGTATCTATCCAGCTGCCAGTGAGGCGAATGGCTAAGTGGTCCGCAAACTTGTACAGACTTGCCTGCAGACCATTGGGTCCCCGAATCAAGACGCGCGCTGTCAACACAGAGATGCTCAGTATAATCACATACGGATGCATGTGTGTAGCGTTTTGAAACGCACAAGCACGGAGCTGCGGCAAAACCAGCCGCCAAACAGGCACCCAGTTTTGCGTCCATTTTTTTGTTTTTCGAAAGACCATAAACCTCAAGAACAGATTCAGCATGGTGGAGGTCGCTGTCGCCACAGCTGAAATGGAACTGGAGTATCGCCACCGACCCGAGGTCTCGCTTACTTACTTGGTAAATCAACGAGGGCAAGATAGGAAAGATATGATGTATTATAGGGTGACTGGGCCATTGTATGACTGTACCAACGCATATGCCCGATTGGTTTGCAGGCCTGCCTGCGAATCATGAGGTCCTGAGTACAAGACCCGCGCTTGTAGCAGGGAGCGTGTAAAAAGACTTTTTACGTGTGTTGAACTGCGCCGACACCCACGGTCAACTGGGTACTCACAGTTCGGAGTGAGGATAACAAGAATGCAGCTGACAGGGTTATTATGCCGTTACACACCCGATTGGTTGAGAGACGAACCTCCTCTCCCCTAACTCACTTGTGAGGTCTGCATTCGCCACTAAGGTGAACAGGCATAGTGGTGGCCTGCGGATGCGAAGGCTAGTTTGTGTGTTTCTGAACATTCAAGCGATGCCGATGCGGATCCCGCGAATATTATTATTATATTTATCTAATACTAGGAATGGGAGATTTCCTCCAATTTACCAATCTGTTCTCTCCCTATTACCCGCCTGGGGTTCATGGTACCCTTGTGGCAGTGTCTCGACAGGACAGCGCAGGTGTGTGTGTGTGTGTGTGTGTGTGTGTGTATGTGTGTGTTTGTGCGAGCGCACGCACGCACGTGCGTGCATGTGTGTACTGAACTTTTATTGTATTTCAAGTACAGTAAAACCTGTGTTTACCGGACCCTTTACCAAGCGGAACCCTGTATTGACCGGACAAATTGTCATGCACAGACGTGTACTGTGGATCGTACGTGTATCCCTGGATCAAGCTGACTCCCGTCATATCAGGACAGTTTCCGCTGCACCAAGGGTGTCCGGTGAAGGCAGGTTTTACATGATTGTACGACTTACCCATGGCCACTGGATTAGCTGCTGTCAAGGCTACGATTCACACACCGCCACACACGCTGTACAGGCGTTGGTAGACTTGCGCTTCTCTCCACCGGCCACGTCGCCGCTGTACACGGCCAACACGGGGATCTCCTCTCGCGAATAGCTGCACCCAATGCCACCAACTACCGGGGCACAATGCACGTCAGCGCACCAGGGCCCTGGACTGACTGCTTGCAATTCTCAGAGTTTGGGTTCAGTCAGGAGAAACTACTCGCTGGCAAGCCAGGCCTCAAAGCAGGCATGCAGTCACCGCTGCGATGACCTCCTGCCGTATGTACTTCTACTGGCTAGGTTTTCCAAACAAAAACGCAAGTAACAGTTAGCTGTCTTCGACTTCGCTTCGCTCATTTCGATTAGAATGTTTAGATCGCAAGACAACCTGCCACTTGTCTTTGAGTAACGATTCGAAAAAGTACATGAACTGACTGATTTTGATTTTGTTACCGAGCCCCAGGCCAGGCTCTCACTCTCCGTCTCAGTCGGTCGCTTTGAATGGAACATGGTGGGTACAGACTCAGTACTAACGGGTTCTCGATGGATATGGATGTGCAGGGTGGGATAGATCGAAATGAGTAGGTGTGACCATGGGCATGGTGACTGCACGTAGATCGACGTAGATCTACGTCTAGCACTAACCATGCTAACTGTCTGTAGATCTACGACTCGTCCGTTTATTTTTGGCGTGGACAGGCCGCACTGCATGCAATACTAGTATAACTAGTAGTAGTACTACTACTACTACTAGTACTAGCGCACTGTCCACCATGCATACACTGCACCAGCCACGGCACAGCTATTTTGCGTTGGCATGGAATGCGCGCTGCTGGTTGCCCCGTCAACAAAATGTCAATGGCAACCAGCTCCGTGCACTGGTTCACCATGTTCACTGCCATAGAGAGTCCAGCCTAGCCTAGCCTGAAACTACCCTAATATTTAAAGGGGAAGTTAAGGCAAAAATTAAAATTTCACCAGTTGTAGTCTTCGGGGTGCTGAGTCGAATGGTCTTGGTCCGAGAAAGCTGAGACGCTCCCTTCCTACTTGAATCCCAATCGAACTCGCGCACTTCCACCGAAACTGGGTGCCTGCGCCCTACTAGATGGGGATTTGTATGCAAAATGTCACTAAAAGCGCCATTTCCGATGATGTCGTTCTTATAAAAGCACGGACGACCGCGATTGGCCCATATCTTGTAGTCTTTTGGACGCTGAGTCGACTGGTTTTGGTCCGAAAAGGCTGCGATGCAGCGTTCCTCCTTTATTCCCAATCGAACATGGTTGAACAAGCGGTCACGTGCTCCTGGGTGCCCAAATCACCTGGTCACCACGCCAGCAGGCGACAAATTTCACACCAAGGTTCAACTCGAGTTCAACTCGAGTGACAGGATCTAGGAGGGCACCCAAAAAAGGTCAAACAGGCTAGTAAGTTGTACCCTGCAGGCACGGCGACCAGGTACTGGTGTACGCAGGAGCACGTTACCGCTTGTTCAACCATGTTCGATTGGGAATAAAGGAGGAACGCTACATCGCAGCCTTTTCGGACCAAAACCAGTCGACTCAGCGTCCAAAAGACTACAACATATGGGCCAATCGCGGTCATCCGTGCTTTTATAAGAACGAAATGGCGCTTTTAGTGACATTTTGCATACAAATCCCCATCTCGTAGGGCGCAGTCACCCAGTTTCGGTGGAAGTGCGCGAGTTCGATTGGGATTCAAGTAGGAAGGGAGCGTCTCAGCTTCCTCGGACCACGACCATACGACTCAGCACCCCGAAGACTACAACTGGTGAAATTTTGATTTTTGCCTTAACTTCCCCTTTAATAGGTAACAAGAGTTAGTAATACTAATAGTTACTAACTACCGTATTCATGTATTACTAGTATCTCTAATAATAAGCACGGTCCTTTATTTTTTCAATGTACCTCCGCCCCGTGCTATTATTAATGGAGACGTTCCTTTATTGGAGACTGCTAACAAGTTCAAGCATTGTGACACCGTCCGTACTAGTTTGAGTTTTGGAGCTCCACCATCCAAGGCTTTTTTGTTGTTGTATTCGAGCTGGTTCTCGTAAGAAAAGCCATGTCTGGGAGAGGTACGTATAGCCAGTCTGTACGGACCCCGAAAGCCGGTGACTCTGGTAGGCGGAAAGCCGAAAGTCCTCCCGATGATTCAAGTGAGCTGCTGTGAGCACGGTGGCTCGGCAATGGCTTTATTATTGATATTATTATCTCAATCCTGATATTTAAACACACGGCGAGGAGACAATAATTTGATAACCGCAATCAATAAAACTAGCTGAACCGACATTTGTGTACTTTATTCATGCAATGTAAAAACGGTGGAGACGATGTGCAATAAAACGATGAAAATATGAAGAAATGGTGTAGGGAAAAAATATATGGATTCAAACAAGTTTTCGTACAACACTCATCAGGAATCGTCGTTGTACTAAAGGACACTGAAACAAAAATTGAACTATTATAGAAAATCTAAGTTAGAGAAATAACACTAAGAGCAACAACAGTGAAATTTACAAGTGTGAATTTTAACAATCAAAGCGAGAAATGAACAAAGGAGAAAGGAAGGAGAGAAAACGTGATAACACATAACAGCAGTACATTACACCTAGAACATTAACGGCCAAGCTTGGCCGCACTAAACACGACACGTTACTTGAACAATTTCAACCCAATTATACTATCTTTCTGTACACACAAATCAGGCTTGTACAGACGCTGATAGATAGCTTCCAACACTTTTAACTGTAGTCCATAACCATGACGACCACGGCACAATACAGTGAACGAAGAGTCGGAATACGAATTGCAACAATCAGGACTAGCTAGCAGATGATTGTACACTGAAGACTTGCTACCACGAAACCTACGCACAACACTAACACTCTCACCGGCATTCTCACCATCACTCCCATCACTGCTCCCCGACTCACTGCTCCTTCCGCCGTCCGCTCCATCCTCCGCTTCCTCCGTACTCTCTCTGTCTCGTCCATCCCGCCTGACCGGGTCCATTGAAGTCAACTCGGCCGTCACCCTGCTATCACATCCCTCCTTTCGCCCTTGTCCGCTGAGTGCGTAGCTTCTGTTGTAGTTGGCTGTTGATCGTCTTGGTCTTTCAATTGTGGGCTTGGATGGTGGATTAGTTGTGGTTGCTGTAGATTGCGTTGTTGGTGTTGGTGTGGGAGCTACTGATATGCAAGGTGGGTCTTTTTGAGTCGGCATTTGTAGTGTTAATGCAGCTGTCAGTGTTGCTCGCGGTCTCCCACTGGCAAGCTCCATCGCCGCAAGAACCGATGGTGGAGGATCAGGAGGAGGCAGTGGGACCGGTACCGCTAGCGGCACCACCTCAGCCAAAGCCGCCGGGGGCACTGACTAGGCCTCCGCGGAATATGCCGGCATAATTTCGGGAATTATCGGTGTGATTTTTAAAACGGGAATTATTGGCAATTTTTGTGGAATAATCGGTAAAATTTGAGCAATGCCCTCCTTTTTTCCATTTTTTTTTCCATTTTAACACCCTGATTTGTACCAAAAAGCTTGTGATCCTGAATGAGTTCATCGCCCGGTATTTCAAAAGAGAAAGAAAAAAAAGCTTCCAGCCGAGTTTCACGCGAACCGTGATTTTTTTGCCCGTACAAGTGGCAAAAAAACCCGTAAGCGGTACGGTATCTGCAAAAAAAGGAAGAAAAAAGCATTATTGTGAGAATTATTGGTGGAATTACGGGAATTATCGGACGTAATTTTGAGCAATGCTCAAAGGAATTATCGGTAAAAATACGAGCATATTCCGCGGAGGCCTAGCACTGACGAGGGAACCACCGACGGCCAGAGCAAAGGCGGCGACACAAGCCGACCCGATGAGCCACCACGCCCATTCTCCTCCCCCACCGCCACCAGCGACGGCGGAGCAAGCACAGTCCGTGAACCATTGTCCGCGGGTTGTGTAGGCAACGGTTGTGTGGTTATTGGTTGTTTTCTAGGTCGCCCTCGCTTCGGTCTTTGTTGTTGTGCGCAAGGTGGAAGTATGTGACGTGGTGTGTGTTGTTTGATGCGTGCGTTCAGGTGCTGAACAGTCCTACCAACATACCGACTAGCGCATTGTCGGCATTCAAAGTTGTAAATAAGATGACTTAGGTGATGGGCTGGTAGGACATCCTTCCGCACCGTAAACGCACGCATCGTCGTAAAGACTGGCACAAAGTGTACTGCGTAGTATGTTCGACGAACAACAGACTTGACTGCACTACAAACTTTAGTCGACTCCTGCCCTTTCCACGGCAAACATAAATAAACGGGACAACGAGCAGGACCAATCATAGGAGCCTTCGTAGTTTGTTCGACTTTCAACAACTTCTGCAACAAAAACTCAGGGTACCCGTTCTTGACAAAAACTGACCGGAGAAAATCAAGCTCTTCGTGCAGCTTACAGGACGAACAAATACGCTTCGCACGGTCTACAAGGTTACGCACTAAGTTTACTTTATATTGAGACGAACAATAAGAGTCATATACAATGTACTGACCAGTAAACGTCGGCTTTCGATAAACGGTGGTCAGAACGTCACTACTCGTTTTTTCCACAAGCACATCTAGAAATGACAATTTGTTGGACTGTTCATGCTCACATGTAAAACGAAGGGCAGGGTGAATACTATTTAACACGTCAAGAAACTCGTTACTACGCTCCTCATTATCAAAATATGTGAATGAGTCGTCCACGAAACGTACATAAAGGTCAGGCCACAATGAATCATCAATTTTCGACTCACAGTAACCGACACAGTAACAAAATACACAAGCCCACATGTCCAGTACGTCCCATCGTTTCCATGACGGCTTCACCCCAATATTCTATTTCCAAGTGGCTGTGTATTTACTTACAACCAGTGCAGGACCACTACTGCAAGCGCACTGTAAAAGACAGTTTTGATTTCGTCGAGAAGCTCCGCAACAAGCCTGTACCACCCAACGCACACATGTGTTCGTTTGACGTCGTCAGTTTATTTACTAATGTGCCGATTGAAGAAACTGTCGACATCTGCATGGATGTTTTGTACCGTAATGATGACGTTGACACTCCTTGGATATCTGAAAGTGCGTTTAGACGGTTGTTGTTGCTGGTCACAACTGGTGTTGAGTTTTCGTTCAACAATGTCATGTACAAACAAGTCGATGGTGTTGCGATGGGTTCGCCCCTTGGTCCGGTATTGGCAAACGTGTTTGTCGGTTACTGTGAGTCGAAAATTGATGATTCATTGTGGCCTGACCTTTATGTACGTTTCGTGGACGACTCATTCACATATTTTGATAATGAGGAGCGTAGTAACGAGTTTCTTGACGTGTTAAATAGTATTCACCCTGCCCTTCGTTTTACATGTGAGCATGAACAGTCCAACAAATTGTCATTTCTAGATGTGCTTGTG